ATGTCTGAGACGGAATCGCAATAAACTTTGAGGAGGTCTGCTGGGTTCAAGTCTCAAGACGTAGATAGCGATATGTTGTCTCACAGCTGGGAATGAAACAAAATAATGTGAAGGGCTAAGAGAGCGTCAACGAGAAGGAGCTAGATCCGTACAATATCCCATCTTCCGTTGGGCGGGAGAGGGATGTTTGGCGGACAGCGATACATCTTCTTGGGTTGAGGGAGGAGACAGGGCAATGAGGAGGAGCTGCGGAACGACAGCTGGATGACAATGTGCTAGACGACGGTAAGTCAGCATTTCTGAAAGACTTTTGAAGAAACCAACATACCCTGTATATTTCAAGGCACTACACTCGGAATCGCGAAAACTCCAAGAAGATTCCTACGCGACTCGGTCAAAGCAAGTTGACATGCCTCCGCATTCCATATACCTCGACGTCTATCAACATATTAGTTAACGTCTATATAAATGTGTAAATCTATGAGACGAACATAAAGCTAACATACCTTTCAAAGGAAAACTAGCATACCCTTGAATAGAACGTTGATACTACCGAGATGTTAGATTTTGGTGAGAGCCAAACAAGGACAAGCGTTACGCTGATTTTGCAGGCGTTGCCGGCCCCCAATGATAGTGACACAGATATGGAACTCGCCTATTAAACATTGATCTTAATCATGTAAATTACATTTTTTATTACTTTGAAGAGACACGAATGTGCTGGGCGGACGATCTACAATGCAAACGATCCAAAAACCACTCCGTGATGACCTAATACTACCGAGATGTTAGATTTTGGTGAGAGCCAAACAAGGACAAGCGTCACGCTGATTTTGCAGGCATTGCCGGCCCCCACAAGTAACACACAACATGTCCTTCATATCAACCACCACAATCAACCACCTTTCTGTCGGCTAACGTCTACCATCATGGTATCATCACCAGAATCCCTCTCTTGCAAGTCTTCGTCCTCTTCATTCCGCATGCCACCGCTAATGAGCAATGCAGCCACTCTTCGTGCCCACTCTCCTCCAGCCGTCGATTTATGCCATATGACATCCGGCCTCGGCTCACCTACAAAACACCCCCAACGCAGCCTAAGCTCAAACGAACCCCGACTCGGATCACGTTCACCCAACTCAATCCCTTCATCGCCCACCTTGGTGTACGTGTCTTTTTCTTTCACTCACATGTACCCCGATCTGACACGATAACCACAGCCGCTCGTCTTCATCGGCGAACTTCGAACGGGTCATTGAACCTCCCGTTATCCCCCCTCCGCCCACGTTCCCCCATCACCCGCCCAACCCCCAGAGTATCACGCGCAAAGTCGACTGAAGAAATCGAGCAGTCTGTTCCCTCCGTTCTCGACTCTGCCGCGTCCATCCTAGCGTCCATCGACGACTCGCATCCAGAGGAACAAGTATCTGTAGAGCCCCCCTGCCTCTCGGAGCAGTGGCCGTTGAGTTTCAGAAGCAGGAGTCCCAGTCCTCTGGGTGCAAGGAACATAACTGATGCCGGTGTACCCGTCCATAACCTCCTTCTGAGCCCACATGCACCGCATACCACCTTCCCCGTCGTCGGCCGCATTCACCCACCCAGCTTCCAGCGATCAGGCCTACGATCCAGACACAGACGGCTATGGTGGCTTCGACGCCATCCCTCATCACGCCCACTTCGGCGTATTTCTCGACTACGTCGATGGGTAGCTCTTCATCTTCGTCTTCCCCTACTATGACGACGGCGCAAGAACACCCGCTTGCTTCGCTTCCAGAGCCTGACGATGGTGATGTCGGCGCGGGGGACGAAACGGAGGATTCAGCCAAAGGGAGGAAACGCAAAGCACAGGCAAAGGGCAAGGAAGAGTCGAGGTGCGAGAAAATTGCGAACTTGCTTGTGGAGGGAAAGAAGGGCGCGGATTTGGAGAAGGCTGTGAGTGGGAGGGAATGATGATGGGCCAGAAAGAAAAATCCGAGCTCTCGCCTTCATCCTCCTCCACCAGACCCCGCCGCTCTCGAAAGACGACGATCCCTGCCGTCGATTCTATCCCTCGGGTCACCACTCACATCGAGACAACCCCAATGCAAGATGTTTTGCAGCGAGACTCTACCTCCCCTTCCTGTAGGCCTCTCCGCAGTCCCACTAACCCACATGTTCAAACGCTCTCTCTCCCTTCCGTCAAGCAACCCGCGCTCAACACTCCCGGCAATTACAATCACTCTTCCATCCGACGCCACGTCGCCAGGAGACGGGGAAGCCAGCAGGATGGGTACACCAGGCACACCATCATTGCGTCGTCCTCCCTATTCTCAAAGAGATACCGCCGCCTTATTCCCACTCCTCTGCACTCCCTTTACATCCTACGGCCCTCGACATCTCCAGTCTGAGGATGAAGAAGCACGTCGAAGGAGTGAGTTATCCCAAAAGGGCTGGTACTGGTGGCTGTCGTCGGGTTTGGAAGACCAGATCGCTGACTCGGGCTGTGAGCGGCCGATGATCGCTGATGGGATGGGATATGAAGATCCTGTCGGACAGTACGATTATCAGTACATCGAGGTGCGCCGTTGTGCCTCGCTTCTTGTCTTCTTGACAGCTGATTTTGAATTTTGTTCACTCAGCAATATGGTGCGTCTCTCGAACTCCCAAACGACGGCAGCGAGCTCGTCACCTGGTCAACAAACCCCAATCGTCAAGGCCTCGTCGCCGTCATACAAGATCCTCATATGCATTCCGAGACCGACGTCCCTCTCTCGACCCTATCCCGCCACCTGTGTCGACAGACCCCTCAAACTACTTCTACACCTCCCCATCCGCACCGCTCCCCGCTTCGTCATTTTCCACCTTGTCTGGTTGGGCTGGCGATTATAAGTATGACGAAACTTCCCATCGACAAACTTCATCAGCCGTTAACGCGACGGTGTCAGCACCAATCCCGGCATGGTACGAAGCCCCTGGTTGGGAGGCCCATGAACATCAGTTCAACCATCCTAGTCTCTACTTTAGCCCGGACGATTGGGATCGGATAGAGGTGAACCATGAGGAAGATCGCCACATTGGAAGACGATCGTGATATCTGCTGTCTTCCTGGGTTAATATTTGTTCTCTTTCTTCCACTCTCTCTGCCGTTTTTCTTTACTCTTCGACTTCATCTCTTCGAACACATCTTGGCAAATCATTGTAGCTATTATTATATTGTCTCCTCTTTCTTGCTCCATTGGCATCACAACATATAGATATGATCAACTTATGTTATTCATTTTCACTGTACCTCTCATCCATTCCTTGCACATAAGTACTGTAGAAATTTCGAATCAAAGTTAACACACGAGGTGCAAGGCAAAATTGTAACAAAATCGAGAATTGATCCGACAACGCCGATACTACAAATGACAACGGGCTTCTCCGGCGTGTTAGTAACTTTGCTTCTCTCTCTAGTTTCTCTTCACGAACGAATATATGAGGATGCGAAAGTACTACCTCACGCGCACGGTCTACTTGGATTCCGATAACGCAAATTTCACCTATTACAAGATGTCTCCGTCAAGAATTCTGGAGATCTCGAACAACAACTAGTCCAGGAGAATCCAGTTGCAGGTGGCCAAAAGTATGCTGCGCGCCCATTTTGAACAATCAGTGTCGCCGAGTGGGTTCTTGACCGAGGAGCTCCAGTTAAGTACGCTTTCTCGAGCTTGAGCCCGTCAACTTAGGTCCGCTTCCTTTGACTGAAAAGTTTGTGGCACCTGATCGAATTGGACCATCAGTACCCCGGTATACTTTCTAGATGATGAGCAGGTGAGCTACCAGCATCAGATATCGAAGTTTTCTTTGTCGTTCATTCTTCTCCCTCATTGAACCCGTGTTCCTACGTTGAAGTTCTCAAACCGCCATCATACCGATGACAAGTTCGACATAAAGGAGATTTATCACGCTCTGCGTATCGGTATCATCATCAACGGGGACACCCTGGTAGACGACATGTTCTTAAGCGATGGATCGCGGTTCGTAAACATCAACTACAGCTCTCACATAACTTTAACGCCTCGCCATACTTCTCAAAGGTTGACCTATAGATTCGCATAAGGGACGCAAATCCGCATGGCCAGTGGAATGTGACCTGCGTCGCAATAATGGTGGGTGGGTTGATCAACCGTCATTAATCATTCACCAATGATGCCATTAATTGCTGCTGGGGGAGGTCGCCATATGGTATTGCACGCGGTGCTATCCGCATGACGACCCTGTGTGTATGCAATGCCTTTTCAACGCGCCAGAAAACGATCCAACCAAAATATAAAGGCTTTAGGTGCGGGTCTCCTTTCTATCAATCGCATCATGCAGACTTTCCCCATCCTCATATCTCTTGTCTTAGCTGGCTCTGCGGCTTCTCAGCAAATTTGGGATATTGTGAGCGTTCGCTCCTCAATCTTCCTTCGCCGTACATACATACTTCTGATCTGATAGTGGCAAACAACATGGGATCGTTCAAAGCTCTTCAGCTCCTTGTCTCCTACTTCCCCCATCAACTTCGTCACGCCAGGTCCGATTGGCAGCGCGGATATCATCGTCAACGATGCGATAAAATTTCAGACTATTGCTGGTTTTGGAGGCTCTCTCAGTAAGTCGATCAACTGTTGTGCTGTGGTTGTTACATCGACTACTTTATCCATTTCACAGCCGACTCATCTGCTCTCGTTTTGAACAACTTGAAGGTCGACGGAACCACATACCTGTTCGATCGCTCTCATAGCTCCCTTTAGTCAACCAACTCTCAAAATTACTGGACGTTGCTGAATCATATGTTCTCCCCAAAGTATGCCGCTAACGCCGCTGGTCTCAATTACATTCGTGTTACAGTTGGAGCCTCTGATTTTTCTGCGAACCGTGAGTCAATCGAAGCCTCAAGCTTCTCTGACGCTGATCTCTCAGAATTTTAGTTTATAGTCTAGACGACAGCAGCGGTGATACATCTTTCAGCAACTTCAATATCAACAAGGTCCCATCCTATGTTTTTTCCGTTCTCAAGGATATTCGGGGGATCAATTCTAATCTCAAAGTCCACATCATCCCACGGTCCCCGGTCAGTGCACCAGTTCCCCCCTCGACATCCACTCACTTCTTTCTAGCCAGGTTGGATGAAAGATAGTGGGAGTATGAATGGCGGATCCTTACAGTCAAAATACGTCCCTACTTGTAAGAACTTATCATCTGCTACCGCATTCTATTTCTTATCTGATTTACAGATCCTACGTACCTTCTCAAAGCCGTACAAGGTTTTCAAAGTCAAGGAATCGCCATTTATGCAATATCTATTCAGGTACGCTGATCGATATCCATCGTCAAATGCAAGCTGGCCTGAGTCTTTCAGAATGAACCCCAGAATAACAATCCTACATACCCCACCTGCACAATGTCGCCCGCTATTGAAGCTCTGATTGGCGCCGCACTGCGTACGCTCCTCAATATCAACGGTCTTTCAACTGTCAGAGTCATTGGTTACGAGGTATGTACCTCATTCCTTATGATTTCCAAACACTCTGATGACAAGATTTACAGCATAACTGGGATGACGCTGGGGAATACCCAGTGGCTCTGGACCTCTGGTACGTACAATCACAGTTCCGTGAACTTTACTTCAATTCTGTTCTCAGATGCAGGACGCTGGAAACTCCTTCGCCGGCGTGGCGTTTCATTGCTACGCTGGAGCTGTTTCTAACCAAGATTCCTTCCACAACTCCTTCCCAGCCAAGGTACGTTTTGGCGTTCGAGCTAGATTCACTATCAACTCAGCTTTCAGGAAATCTACTTCTCAGAGTGCGCCGGAACAATAGGGTCTGATTGGTGGAGTGATATTAACGTGCGCTCATTAATTTCTCTTGCCGTTGTGTCTGAACGTGTTCTTTCAAGTGGTACATGAAACGTACTTTCAGCCCGCTGCTGCCAACTACCACACTCCTCCTGTTCACCCCCAGCAACGACAGCGGGGATACCGTATTTGCGACCAATGCCGTACTCCAGAGACCCAATCTCTTAAGTTCCGCTTCTGTGGAGGTTGTGTACGTCGTCCTTCTCTTCTTGCCTTCATGAAGCTTGACGTGACTCCCCCCAGCTGACGACCCAATATTGTGTGAGCCTTGTCAGTCCCCGGTGGTAGCTCGCCCTCTGACGAGCTTGTCTTCCACAGTCACAAGACTGCCAACGCGACCACTGGCCCCACCATAAAGCAATCTGTCAGCACACCGCGGTCGGTATCCAAAGCCGCCATTGCCGCTGCGTCTTCCTCCCCAGCCGCAGACGAACACCTCGCGAAGAACCTCCGCAAGTTCGCTTCTGCCCATACGGCGTTGTTGGGCTGGGCTGGTTTCCAGGCGTTGCAACTCAAACGTGTCCCGGCTAATATTAGGCAAAACGCATTGCTCATTGACTTGAGCTACCATCCTCACGCTGAGTCGCATCGTCGGTAAGTCCAATGTTCCTTTCCTCCCGTGCACTCCATCGATGCTCACACGTCCTCTGGCAGATTTTCGATACTCTCGACCCACATTGTACCGAGGACCTACGTCCATGACCCGCTCGTCATAGCTGACATCCAGCGGCGCGAGGAACGGTGCAGGTATAGCGGGGGCATTGGCACGCCCGTCGTCATTATCCAATGTGGCGGTGTCTCCCAAGTTATGCCCGTTGAAGTCGATCCGCCTGCGAAGATTACGTGGGACTCGAGGGACGATTGGGCGAGTGTGCTCGCGCTCTTTGTGGAGAGCGGAAGGACGGATTTTAAGCCGATATCGACTACTTCAAGGGGGTGAGTTGTCCTTCCGTTGTCATTTTTCGGAGAGCGGGATTGACGAACTGGTTTAGGGTGTATTATGGATGAGGGGCGAAGCTGTGTGGACTTGAAAAGACCGTTCGCACCCAAGAACCTTTGCAACCACGCACCCTTCGTGCTAATTCACGACCACCCGGCATTTGACAGCTCGCGCACCATCAATTCACTTTGTTCACGCATCGCGCATCATTCCACTCCTGTTCGTGTATCTCATGTACGACCATACCCGCGCCGTCGATCGGTGCACCCTCAGCACATATTCAAACCACTAATGAGCAACATCCATCGCATCAGCATCGTCCACATAATCTCCAGCATCACAATTCACTTACGTCTATCACGTCGTTTTCTTGGTACAATCCGTCAGTGCCATGTCGGCTTGCCGCATCTATACCTCTTCCCCGCCTCTATTCAGCTTGTCGAGTACAAGCTTGCCCCCTTGATTTCGCTTTCGCTTTCGTTCGCTTTTTCGTTTATCGAAAACATTTGGTTTGAATTATCTTTATCTACGGCTTGTGGTTCGATTTTTTGACGAGTTTCCTCAGTATATCTAACTGTGTAGATACATAATCAGATTATAATAGTCTTGTGCGATACAATGGCATCCACGCACCCAGATTTGGTTGAGATAGAAAACGATGAAAAGTCGAGATTAGGGGGAGCGAAGCTTGGACAGTTTCATAGAGAGCCTGAGCTTGAAAACGACAAGAGAACGGCTGATCGATAGAGTCGTGAAGGGGCAGAATAACAGGGCAAGCTCCGCAAGTAGAAGCGGAGCAAGTCGAGAGGGCCACACCAGATGCACAAAGGTTTATCGTCGGCTATCTCCAGAGTTGACCACTTCAGAAGGCTTGATGACCCGTCTTCCCCCGAGTATTATTACCTGAGGGGTCCTCAACTTGAAGGTCTGGATCCGTTTGAGGACGTCACCAATGTGGTGGGGGCCACGGTCATCCTTATCAAAACTGGATTTTCGACGCATGCTATACGTGGTTTTTTTGTTTCTTGTATAACCGCTAACGCGTGTTGTCATGGGCCAACGCCTCCCTCAGCTCCAATCCACCTTCACCAGGTTCAGCTTAACACCACCCTTCCCCACATCGAAGTACGGAAATGGGGAATGAGAGAGGCCGAGAGGAACACGATGGGGGAAAGAAGGATTGAATGACGATAAGAAAGACCTAACAGAAAGACACACGCACAAATGCAGGAAGAGAACGGCGGCTACGTCGAAGAGGAAGCAAGAAGAGGAGAATGGAGACAAAAAGGAGGGCCCGACGTAGAGCATAAGAAGTCCCACAGAACGGTGAATCATAAAGTGGCTCTGAAGGTGAACAAGGCGCGAGAAGAAAGAAGAAAGACGAAAAGGTTGGCAGGTAGGTGAAAAACCAGTGCACAGGTAGAGAAAGAAAGAGGTGTAGAAGAATCGTATTAGAGCGCGCCGAGGACTATAAATGGAAATGAAAGGTGGGGAACCGATTCAAGCAAACGGACGAGCGGGACAGGAAGATGTGAAGCTGGAAACGGACCTAACTCCAACACCTCCCACCTCACCATCCAGCACCGCTTCCTCCCCACCCGTCGTCGTCATCGTAGTAGCCAACGCAGCAAACTTGGCATGCGTCCCCCTCACCTTCTTCATCGTCTTGATATTCGCATTCCTCACGCTCAACAGCGACTTTGGGTTTGTCTGAACCGATACAGTGCATTGTTTGGGTGGACTAGACGAAGACGAGGAGATACCCGTCACTCCGTTTGCCACTAACCCCGGTAAGGCGTTCCACCATAACTATGTGTCTTCATCCTCGCCCTCCTCCAATCTCGCGCGTTTCGACGGTCGTGACGAAGAATCCATGGGGCTAGCAGGATCCGTGAAACTCGCCAACTGCTCCAACACCTTTTCGTCTCCCACAGAAAGCCCTTTGTCAAGCGCCAAGAAGGACGCCATGCCCTCTGGTGTCCTTCCAAGTGCGGGCGTCTCCAGAAACGGCGCAATGGCTTGATGCCATTCACTTCAGGGATCGCGCACCCTGTTGGGTGGTGGTGGTTGTATTGGTGGTTGGGTATCGGAGGGTCCGTACGTTCCTTCCGATTGGTGATGTACCGCAGCAATTTTTCAGCCTTTACGCGCCGTCGGTCGACGCACCCACGGAGGTGGTCCTCCGCCGCGTTGTATTTGTAGCAGTTTGACCAGCAACCCCTGTCGTACCCGTCAACACCGACACGGACGAAGAGGCGCATGAGCTCGTCGAAGAAGTCGAGTTGTATTTCTGATGGTGTTGACACGGTTTGCTGCTATTCGACTCTGCATCTTCGTCTTCGTCTGCGTCCTGGTCATCAAACTGAGCATGGTTGTCTTTGCGTATCCGAGCCTCAACCTCGTCTTTGCACACATCCACTTTCGCTCGAGCCTCAACGCGAACCTCACCCGCCGACATTCGACCCTCTCCCGACGCCCTCACGAGCATCTCAACTCGTCCAGGCAAAGTAAGATACTGCTCACTCGTCCTCCTTTCCCCCACACCCAAAGGCACAGGAGCAGGCGTAGCAGGCGGCGTAGGATGAGGTGTCGGATTAGGCGTAGGATTCACAACGACTAGCGTTGGTGGCGGCGGTGTGTGTGGGGTTGGTTGATATTTGGGTTGATGTCGATGTTGATGTTGACGGGATGGCCGATGTTGACGAGGGCAGGGGAGAGATGGTGGAAGAAGGCGGTTGGGATACCAACGGCAGAATTGATGAGGATAACAAAGATGTTTGTGCAGAGGCAACATCTGATAATGACGGAGATGGATGGCCAGCGACATAAGAGGGCAATACTTGCGTTGTTGCTGTCGAGCCTCCAATCATAGAAGACTCTGCAACCGTCCCAGAAGGCACGTAACCGCCCGCAACATCCTCCCAGCAGGCGTAGGTAACAACTCGGCAGGAGAAATGACCGTCTCCCTCGTCGTTGTTGGCTCTGGGAGAGGAAGGGGGGTGTAGAATGGATAAGTTGTACCTGACCGAGCGGGGTTCAGCATCTGTGGGGCTGGTAGCGGGCGATATCGAAAGCGTCGCAATGCCGCTCCTTGTAGGGGAGTTGTTGGGTGGGGGTAACATGTCACAGTAACCCTTCCCAACGCTCATCAAAGTTCCCTGGTTAACGGAGCCGGATCTCCGTATTGTAGACTGCTTGCGAATGAGTGGGATGGACCGGTGCATGGGTATAAGTGGCAGGGCTGAAAATGAAATATCAAGTCAGATGTCGTTTATTATGTGTAAGGAAGGAAGGGACACGAAAAAAACTCACTTACATGCCCTCTCATCCATATCCAAAGTCGAGGTAAGCGGACGATAATCTCCATCTCCATCTCTCTCGACTGGGCACTTCTTCTCTGATGGTTAACCGGCCGGCATCAATTCGCGATACCAAAGCCTCCCAGAGATGTTCTCGAGTCTATGCCCGTCTTTGAGTGATTCTTTGCATTTCGTGAATACTGTGAGGTATGTTAGAGATTTGAAGTAGAGATTGGAGAGGAAAGAAGAGGGGAGAGAAGAAAAGAGGAAGAGAAGGGGAAGAAAAACGAAAGAAAGGGAACCAGAAAAGAGAAAGCAACTCACACGTCCACAAGCCAGACAAAGCCTCGCTTCCTTCAAGCTCCCTAACAGCGTCCGCCGTGACGGAAAGAACAGGTGCTGGAAAAGCGACGAGCATACTATGTAGTGTTGAACAGAGTCAGAGCAAGGTCCGAGCAAGGTTGGGTGTGTGCGGGGTACAACGGACGACGATGATGCCTTGTCTTCTGTATTGTCGTTCTTCTGTATTGTCGTGTGTCCTCCAATGCGAATGGCGGTGGCAGAAATCCAACTCGAGCCCCAACCCCAGAACCTAAAAGAAAGAATAAAAAGCGAACGAGCGGGAGGAAAAAAGAAACGCACACACTCAAACAGGATGAACCCACTTCTCAGCCCGAGCATATAACTCACGTGACACGTTTGGGCTTTTGCAAGGCTTTTGGGTACGCATGTACGCAATGGCGCCGCTCCAAGCTCGTGGGGTGCTCTTCATCCATCTTTACATAAACGCAAGGTTCGTTTCGTTTCTGGAAAGAAATAACCACGCACCGAAGTTCCTTGGAAGTTCCCAGATTTTGATCATCGCTTCCCGGGACCAGCCATTTGCCTTCACTGTGGAAGGCGACGGAGGTGATATTCATGCTGCGACCGTCAAAGAAGGCCAGCTGATTCCCTTGAGCATATACCTTGGAGCCTAGAGACAAGTACGCACTGGATCGGAAGACGGACTTCCTATCTCATATACCGTGGTCCGCGACATGGAGCAACGTAGTCGTTTAGTACTACTTACTGCAACTTTGATGTTTGATTGATTCTCCTGCAGGTAAGCTCACTCTGATGATATTGCGAGGCGATTCCCTTGCTGATGTGAGAAAGCGGCAAATCACTTCACGACAAAGTAAACCTCATGCCTGCTTGGCTTGTGCGCTCAATGGTTCACGATCAGATGCGACTCCAGGCCTCCCGGAAGCGTATCATAGGAACCAGTCACTAAAATGACGGAGCTTCCGCTAAAGCTGGGCAGCATTGTGACTGTGGTGAATAATAAGCACTGACCGGCATATTGTATGACTCGGACATATGTTTCGCATGCCCAAATCTAATCTGAAAGCCACGCTGGAATCTTCCTTTTACCAACGTGTTGCACACACCCTGCAGCGTCACAAACCCACCACCCTTTTACGCTTATCGGAAATTACATCGAGGGCACTGCATTCTTCGATCGGGGTCTCTCTTCTGGTCCCTGAACCATGTCACCTCGACATGAAATACATGCTCATCCTGCATGCGTCTGAGGTGCACACGGCGGTGAAAGTTATCTCCTACACTTGACCGTCACTCGTTCCTCTCGATTGATTGATCTCCCGAATTTGATTCCTCAAGGGATTTCTCATCCCGCGGAGATCATTTTGCGGGAGCATGCCTCCTTTCTTGTCCTCAAATCTCTTCTGATCTTCATTTCCCATGACTTGGAGATATTATGAAGCGATCAAGGTGCCACCGTCGGTGATGCCTTCCGAGTCTTTGATTAATCTCCCTGAGTTTCCACCAGCTTGTTTCAATCACTTCACCGTCGTGTGCTTGCCATTTCGAACGCAAATGTCTTTCTCATCTGGGAGCCTTTGCGAAATCCTATCACCGAATGTTCTGTGATTTTGCTTGTCTTACGATCCCGGGGTCGACTTTCGTTTGCATATAAGTAACAGTATTCGTCAAGCTCTCTTCAGGTCACTACCCCGACTACTACTATCCCGGCCATGAACGCATTCCCCGTTAGCAGTTTTTACCGTGCTTTTTTATCCCTGTACTCACTCCACACAGACTGGCACCCGAGTTTTCTACTGGTGTTCTACTGGCCCGATTATCTACGCTACGGTGCAATCCTCTAGACGCTTGCCGGATGTAAGTCTACTTGTCGCCTCAATTTTTTTTTTCAATCTGAACAAACCCCTTATCTCAGGGAACACAACTCTTGGTCATCAAAGATGACAATGGCGAGACCGTTACTCTCCCGTATGGTTCTACATTAAATCGAAGATTTCATTTTCTGACATTGATGACAGCGCTGCTGGTGTCACCCTGGTGTCCTGATTTGCAGGCACCTTTCCCTCTTTTTGTTTAGATTTTTTTTAGCAGACTTTTTCTGTCGGACAGTAGTACATCAGGTTCAATCTTACAAAGATCAGTCTCCCTTAAAATCCACTCGTTATCAACGATCGTACTATGCGAGCAACCAATTCAAGAACACATCCAACAAAATCAAGCGGCAGCCAACCCAAACGGCGACATCGTTCCCCCACTCCGGATCAGACAGAGTCCTTACTTAACACACACAGTAGGTGCAAGGTGGATATTGGACATGTCTTGAGGTGTGATGAGGATGTACTGTTTCTTGTCGGAAGAGTTTGCAGCATCAATCTACGTGGATACCAACTACATGAGCCACAAAACATTGAAATGGAAGAAAGGTCACCGTACCATCACCTTCAGACTAATACCACGATTCACAGCATCCATGAACACGCCAAACTCATCTACAAACCACATTAACAATAACTTTGGAGTCTGGACTCTGAATTGAAGAAAATTTACCCAAACGCCGCAAAGGACATCCAATTGACTCCCAAAGCGACAACAACAAGCAAATCGTCGAAAATGACGTTTAACCCCCACTCAACAAGCGTGAATATTTATCCTTCGATCTCTGCGTCAACGTCCGGTCATCCGTTTGTTCATAAGCTCACCAGCGCCGTCAGTACCCCAAATTCCCCCATAGAAAAGGAGGCGGCCTACCCGCAACATCAAAATTGGCGCACCATGTTTAGACAACACCTTCCCATAACACCCCCTCTGCGAAAGATTGAATGCAAACGCAAGTTTACACCGTAACGCGATGTGCCTCCAGAACTCCTGCCACTTGCCCAGGCGGTTGATCGGAGAAGGTTTGAGTGCCTTGTTGAGCTGGGCCATGTCCTTGAGCGCCTTGTCCGCACTTTCAAGTTGTTCCCCGGTCTTGTTGACTTCTTGAACCATCTCTTCGACCGACACACCGTGTCTACCAGAGCTCATCAGATAAACCCAAGATGATAGGACCTACGGAACTCACCTCCTCTCACGTTCCTCAAAGCAGACTCATAAACCTCCGGACTTCCGCCTGCGGGGATTCTTCACATGCTCACAGTACTCTGCCGCTTTCGCAGTCCAGTTCTACATCCCCAGCAACACAAAATCAGCGTCCGTCAACCTCAAAGACGTGTTCAAAAAAACAACCTGGAACTCTTCCTGAAGAACGGTAGAACCATCCCGACGATGCGACTCCACTGTAGTAATAGTACATGACCCACTGCAGGTCGGTAGATCAGATCACCCATTTCAGTCAGGTTGTTGTAAGATATCCCTACCTTCCCTGTGTTGGTGTCTTGTCAGCTCAAACTTAACTTGAGAACAACAAAAAGATCCCAACCTTATAATAACCCCGCTTCCACTGGTCCATCTTCTCTTTCAAAAACGTTCATACCACTCCTCAAACGTCCCATCGGCATCCACATCCTCAGCAGACACCTTTTCATACTTCTTAAGCACACGATCAACCACTGCTCTGCTCTCCTCGTCTTCAACCTCATCCTCGTCTTCCCACTCTCTATCCTCCTTCTGCTCGCCCGTCTCAGGCTCATATTCCAGCGCTCTCGGAAACCGACACGTCACCAGATTCCTGTCCTCCTCATCAAACTCGTCCCACGTCACACTCAGGTGTAGATCCTCCGTCAACTTGGTGATGAATACTCGCTCCCTCGCAGGGAACGAGTCTTGGTGCGTAGCTCTGGACCGCGCTGAGGGGGTTTTGGTAGACATTGGAATTAAGATAGAAAATTGGTAGAAAAATAGATAGATATAAAAGAAGGGATGAGGAGGGAGTTGATGATGGGGTTGAAAAAGAAACGCGCAGAATCATACGACGATCATGTTTTTCTGGTAAACAAAAGAAAATCACATTTGAGACGTACCGCCGAAACCTGAAGTTGCGTACAGTGTCCGACAAATCCGACATGTTCTTATCAACCTATTATCATGCCGTCAACGATCTGTGAGGGTTGCGGGAAGGCATACAAACGAAGTGGGATTCTGCCTCACCTAAGAAAAAGCAAAAATCCACGGTGTCAAGCCTACCATGCTCTGCTGAATGACGGGCAAGACCTTTCCACTGATTCGGACAAGGGAGCCGACCATGAACAGGAGCTGGAATCCGATTCAGCAACTGAAACGGATGATGCACGAGGGAGTTCACCCTCTGTACCCATGTTCGGCCCAGCAATTCTTGACGCACATGCCAGCGAACCTGTTCATGACTTTTCTATGCATATAGATGTGGCTGGAGACTTCTACAACGATTACGAAGATTATACGATGGGTGACTTTGAGTTGGATGACGACGGCGATGGCGAGGAGATGGTGGAGACTAGTGGGGAAGGCGGTACAGACTCTGACCGTGACGGGGATGGAGATGTCGAGGAGGAAATCAAAGAAATTGACATTGATGTGATGGCTGCAGAGGCGGAAGCTGGATTGGAGCCTGAACGCGCTGGAAGTGAGCAACCAGGTGCGACAGATCTGGAAGATGGGCATACACATACGGCGGCCAATGATGAACCAGCACTTCGACTACATGGTGGAGAGGAAGAACCACTCAAGAACCGACCCTTTGTCATTCAATTTCCAGGAATTTCGGCGGGAGCAGTGCATTCGCAGCGGAACATCGACCAAAATTCACAGTACTCTGCAGCTGTTGGCGGTAGGATTAATCAGTTTGCTCCGTTTTCGTCACAAATGGAGTGGGAGATCGCGCGATGGGCTCAGCTAAGAGGTCCCAGCTCAACGGCCTTCAACGAGCTTATGGCGATTGAAGAGGTGAGTGGTCTTTCCTCAAAAGATAAAAAGGGCTCACCGTCCCTCATACCTCACGGACTCTCCTTCAAGAACTCTGGGGAACTGAACAAGTTGATCGATAAGTCGCTACCTGGTCGTCCCGCATTCAAGCGCCACGAGGTGATGGTTGGGTCAGAAGTCTCTGAGGTGTACTTTCGGGATGTCGTCGCTTACATCAAGTCGCTTTAGATTTTACACCATAACCATATCTGGTCTTTCGACGGAGAAACATTACACAGATGAGAGTAAGAGGGTACGCATGTATCACGACATGCATACGGGAAGGTGGTGGTGGACAACACAGGTGAGAGTTCTCGTGTCAAGTTGGTGTCAAGCTTCAATCCTGGTGAAAATGGAGGAAAACCAAACCGAACCACAGTGAGCTAATTATAAATAAAACAGCGTCATCAATCCAAATCGAGCTGGACCCTTTGAGTTCTCAACACAATCAAACGACTCGGAAATACAATCTTGCTGAACGCCTCTGCATCAGTCTGCACCCTCCTGCTGTGTCAGTTATGCACACTTTAAAGAACATGTTTGCCCAATGTTCTCCACTCCGAGAACCGACTCCCCAACCCCACGTCGAATCAGCTTCTGCACTCCTCTTAAATGGACACCTTTTCCTCTTTGCTCTTGAGGCACGCTCTCTTGCCCCCACACTACCACCATGCTCTGGCCCCTCAATTTCTTCTCTTGCCCCCACACTACCACTATGCTCTGGCCCCTCAATTTCTTCACTCGGCCCCTCTAAACCCCTCTGTTCAACTAGCTTCCACAGCACTCTGGATCCCACAATCACAACTATCGTTAGGCCACCCTGGTTCAGAGGCAGAGAACCGGAGCGCATCATGGTCATTCCGAGTCACTTATGCGCATGTTTTTGGGAGTAGCTGTGTTTTGAGGTAGGTGAGCATTCACCTCGTTTCCGTGAACAACTCAAGCTGAATATGTGCGTTAGGTTATGAAGGTGCGTTCCTCGGCTTTTTTACATCGTTTCCCTTCGCCTTGTCCCCTTCCCCTCCCCCCATCTCTCTTCTTCATCTTCTTTGCACCTCACTAACCTCCCCCGTCCAAATGCAGACATCCCTAAAACTTTGTTCCTCACCCGACTGTACAGGCATCGTTTGCCCCCACTCGAGAGCCAGGAGCTGTGTGGGGTGTGTTATGTGGGGGTGGATAAAGTTGAGGGTTGCGCTGGGAGTGGTTGAAGATTGGGGGGAGGGTCCAGATGGTGGAGAGGGCGACGGGGAGGAGGGGGGGAACGCATGAGGGCGGATACGTGAGGGCGGATACACATGAGGATGGATACGCGTGAGGACAGATACAAATATTCACATCGCAGGCGGTCTGACTCACTTGATGAGGATGACTGCCTGGAAAACGACTCCACCACGGACTCTGATGTCACGATTCCACCAACGCACAATAGCGCCAGCGCAGTACCATTACTAGTACGTCTCTTCTTACCCTCTTTTCCTGATTTTTCTCACCAACTCCCATCTCCTTCCGCAGCATTAAAGATCTGCATTCACATTGCCCCTGCGCAAACCGCCATGCCCTTCAGACTTCGTGCATCGGGGGGATTGTAGTGAGGGGCGAGCAGGGCGAGTTGAGAAGAAGGGAGGGGAAAGAGGTGATGAGCTCGAGGTATGTCCCCACCTGGCAGGTAAAGTCTCATCGGTGGTTGCTCACCGCTCACGTGTTCACCCAGCTAGCACAGGGTTTCCGCGCTGTCTTTACGCTCCACCCTCACCGCTGTCGTCTCGCAAAATACATCTGACGTGCATCTCTTATGTATTGAAATTTTTTTGTACGCCACTTATTCACCTCAATCGGACTTGATAATCCAGCTTACCTACCCCAATACGTGCCCTCTGCTTGATCAACAAACAAGGCTACTTAGAGTTCGGGAGGTATAGGCCATTTCAACACTTGAATCTGGTATTGTAGGTTACGTTTGCGTGGTGGCGACGATGTCGCTAGCGACAATGTTCGAGCCTAACACTCAAAGTTAGACAAAAGAGCAGTGAACGAACGGGTCACGTGCAGGTGTTGGGAGCAAGATCATATATAATGACTTCTTTCCCTGTCGCACCGGGGACCGCGTAGCCATTAGTAACAAGAGTGAGGCTATACCGTATTTATTCGGGTGAAAAACAAACCAGCAGGGATTGGTGATGCATGACCCTTCCACGTAGGATATACTGTCAAGCGTCAGAATGGACGAAAATCGGAGATAATGAATGGACGATACTCTTTTATAATGCCTGTAAATTTTTCGAACATGAAGTCTTGAATACGGGTGTTGTTGCCACTTGTAGAGGGACCGGCCTAAATGAAATTTAGGAGATTGGAGATTGTAATGTTGACGAGAAATAGCTCATGCCTAGATCCCAATAGCTAGCGCGACCGATCAATCAAGGAGAGGAAAGTCAATAGTAGAAAGAGTACTCTTGTGTCACGTAGATCTATAGAAAGATGGTCAGAAAACACGCAAAAACTGTAGAGGCAGAACACTTGTGGGGAATGAAACGTTGTCGAAGACGACGCTTTTCCATGTAATGCTGAAATATGGTTGTTCATCGATGTTAAGTCGGAGAAAGAAAGACCTTACTTTCATGCGAGAACATTGCCGCCTGCCCAGCTCTTGAATCGAGCGCCATATAATCTGTTTTTCTTGGGAAAAGCAGAGATCATACTTCATTTCAATAAGTATCAGGCAACGATGGAGACCAACCATCTGGATATTCTCAATGCTAATCAGTACGATGAGTTTGTGAGCCAATACAACACATCAAAGATTTTCACAGGACGTTTTGGACATTGGCGACCAGACCAGCTTTTCCGAGGGACCCGATCGAAAGTCCATGCCCGCCTTCACAATAGGTGCTCCTATTGAGCCATTCACAAATTGGAGCTAAAAAAAGGGTAAAGACGGTTGCAAGATACCTGAAGGTAATATTAGACGCGCCACTTCCAACAGTAAGGCCGTCGTCGCCATTCTGGATAAGGTTGTCTTCGAGAATCATATTAGCTCCCCCAGCAGAAAACCCTATGTAACTCGGCAACTGAGCGGTCTATTTACCGAACTACGGAAACGATGGTGCTCACCATCGCTAATGAAGCACAAGCGGTGTCATAAGTGGGACCAAAAGAATAGAGAGCGTCAAGCGCACTCACGTGTTGAATGGGAAGGACTAGATAAATGCGTCAATACCATTTTCGAAGGCGAGGGGAAGATGGCCTTCGTACCTGAGTGCTCGACACAGCGATGATCTTGTTATTTAACACATGGATATTTGAAGTACCGCTCGTTGGGGAGTTCCAGGCTATGGGCTTTGAATGAAGAGGGGCCCCTCAATAAGGAGGTCATCACTGAGAAGGATGAGACGATACCTTCCAAATCTTCATATCCCGAATGACGCCATTGTTGGTATGGCTAAATGCAATCCCATGGGGACGATTAATCTGATTCTGCGCATCCCACAGCTGAGATATAGGTAAGATCACGCAAATCACAGGTTGGTCGGGAAAATACCGCTTGGCCATAACCGTCAATCGATTCTTGTTAGGCCCCGCTTTGGGATCATTTGGAGTGTGACAGGAGCGAACGCATATTAATGCGCCAACAAAACGCGCTCGTTTCAAGATGGAGTGAGTGCTGCGCAGCGTTACTGAAATGACCGACGTCAGCGCGAAGGGGACTTTCTTGATGCAACAGGAAACTTGCCACCAAATGACCCGGGAAGGCATCGACCCGCTGGATTGAGTGTTGTGGGGTGTATGGAAGCTTAGAATGCGACACATATGTGGCTATTCAGCCGTAGGAGCGAACATATTGATGAACAGCTTACTGTGTGCAATCTGTTTTCAACAAAAACGAGGAAACCGATCGCCTGTGAGGGTCAAATTGACTTAAACTGGACAAAGAACATGGCTAGACAGGCACGTACCCATGTCAATCCCATTGTCTGATTGGAAACGAGGGGATACACCAGCCTGTTTTTCAAAGCGCGTCAGGATCGTCGACACACATATTTATGCTCTCGAGCTTCAGCCCCTCCTCCCTGAGTCGCGTTACGAGTTCAGTGCAGAGTCGTGTTATGAGCTTGATGCAAGATGCCCTAGTCCGAAACATTGCAATACACAGCTCCTGAGAGCAATACACGCACGTTTATCGAGAACATACACTCAAAATCGAGTGATGGGATTCACATAACATTCAATGGACATAGGAAACTCTGTGAGCGCGTATCAGGTACCAAAAGTGAGAGGAAATAGTAAATTACCTCAGTGAATACCTCTATTTCACGGAGTCAGGCCATTAAGATAGGGAAAAACGACGCCAGATTGTGGTAGTTGGATGTTTAAACTCCGATAAGCTGTTTTTAAAACATAAACAAACAGACACTGCTCCTCATCTTCTTTGCATCTTCTTGTTCACAAGCAGTGGGCGAGTTTTATCCCGGACGGCGTGGGATGCGGTTCCAGTTTCAGAAAGACTACAACCGACCAGCGCGCATCCAATCAGCCTCCATCCTCACTCTCTTCGGAGCATTAACCATAGACTGAGTACTTGAGCGATGTTGGATCTATGGGCGTAGTACGAATTCTTCACATTAGACCGACGCCTAACAAGATAAAAAGGAAAACGTACAAAAAGCGCCGAAAGCCTCTCAGGATGCACAAGCCTAACGTCAACACTAGCCCAGCCCTCGTCTTGACACCCGCAACGCTCGCTATCTCCCAAGCGCCGAGTCGAAGTGCTTGCCTGAGTCCCTTTGGAAACACGCATAAATGAAAACGTGTGAGGGAGTCCGAAGACCCAACGCTGGCAGAACAAACATAAGAAGCTCCGCAATCATCTAGTTGAGAGACACATCGTGCGCGGAATCGAGGAAAGGCACGTCTGCATTGGGATCAGAACCGAGGTATCTGAACTTGTCTTGGTGTTCCTATTGGTTGTTAAGTGTCTGCATTGCTGGGTGGATGTCGCCTAAAGAGAAGATGTTATTTAGTGAGTATTTGGAGCCTTCGAGAACACCGGGTTAGAAAATAAGGAAAGTTATATTTGTGAAGGAGGACGAACTTGGGAAGAAGGCGTGTTGGAGGCGCGTAAGGCGATATAATTTCGAATTGAGGATCCTGAAGTCATAGAGAAGAAGAGTGCAGGAGAACACAGGATACGGACAGGGATAGTCAGACGATGAACTTCAGAACTTGGGTAGAGCCTGAATGAAGTTTGGCACCTGCAGAAACTTGGGAAATTAGCGAGGCGGAAACAACCTAGATCGCGAATAAAAATTTGTCCAGGACGTGGTCATCGGAGCGCCTAACTACGCTAGTCTGCTCGAGAGATTGCACATATTTGCAAGCTTGCCAAGAGGGTGGACGATGAATTGCGGCATGAATGCAAGTTGTCTCTAGGCGGACTTGCTAGTGCATCCTTTTGGGCCCTTGATTCTCCAATAGTTTGTGGCTCTAATTGAATTTATTTTTGTTGTTAATCATGCCCAACCACCGGAGGAATCAGACCAGGACTAAACGCCATCGCGTGAACAACTCGTGAACAAGGTAAATTTCAAAGGACTCGGATTGGCGTCCAACCGCAGGAGGGTCAACTATCTTTGTCCGATATCGTTAATTGGCAATGTGGGGAAACAATAGCGTAGAATACTTCCCAATTCCCATTCGCATGTCCTGTTTGTGTAGCGTTACTTTGGGATGAAGGAGTTGGAGTTGAAGCTTGAAAGTTAGGGTTAAGCGCTGAGTCTTGAAAGGAGTGTTTAGCTTTGCAGCTTTTTTTCCAAGACTTTCTCACGCAAATCTCTGACTCAGGCCACAACCTGCCCAGCGTTTCTCGGCTGTAAGCCCCTTTGCGGGGGCATGCTCGCCGCGGGCATGAACTGCTGAGACGAGTGTTCTCTGGGGACACAATAACTCTCAGCGGGTCGCTCAGTTGGGAAACGGCCGTGCAGGGGCAGGCGTCTTGTTCCGAGTAACAGCGACACTTGCTTCCTATCGAGTCTCGACTGCTGCGAGAGGACACTCCGTGATTTCAGGTTAACAGTCAGTTTTCTTCCGCCGTAGATGACAGTTCCTGCCTTAAATGCCTTTTCAACTGCAGTGACGCCCAGCTCGACGACGCCGAGGCACTCTCGAGAAGCCCCACCGGCCACGCTAGGTCACCCTTGACCTGATTCACGTCTTTTAGAAGGAAGGGATGCCAGCTTGAGCTGGAGAGCTGGGGAGTGGGAAGAACGGATGTTTTGACTTCAGTAAGTTAGTTACCTCCTCCTTCGTGCTCTGCCTTCCGAATCTATTATCAACTTCCATCCATTTGACCTTTTGTGCTTGGCTGATCACATTCATCTGATACTCAGGTTCTGATTTCACAATGCCAGCCAACCCCAACTCCCCTGACTTCAGTGATTGCACCCTTTGTATTCACCGCGCAACTTGGCCACTTGCACTCCTTCGCGCAGCGGCCCACGAAGGGACATTAAGGCGCAATCCACCCAGCTAGGCTGCCTTGATATGGAGCTTGTGGATCCAGTATCATCTCCTTGCCAGTCGCCACGGAAGACCGCAATCTAGGTCACAGCTGTCCGCCCGGTCGTAAGCGCAAGCTTGAGTCGGAGAGCCAGAGAGTGGGGATAACCTCTTGGTAAGTTATCAGTCTTGCATTACTTATTCATTTGGTATTCTGTTCTCCCTTTCCTGGCCTCTGAATTCCTTGCCACCTTGCATCTCTTGGTCTTTTGCCTGGTTGACTGACCTCCTTTGTTACTCAGATTCTGGTTCCACAACGCCTGCGCAAACCTCAGCTCGACGTCCAATTGGTTGCGCCCAGCACGTGGTTATATGCTCGTTCTGTCCCGCCCAAGCTCAGAGCTGCTGAGCCTTTTCGTTGAGTGCCCTCTCCATCCTTGGCGGCGGCTCAAGCTGAGTAACGACTAAAATTCAGATCCTATTGATCTAAGCCTCGCCCTGAACTGGCGACTATTTGATACTATTTCTGCACCGCTATTTTCTTCCTTCTGCCCAACGTTCCGTGCGCCGTTACGCACAAACCGCCCGACGATTCCAATTCTTGGGCGTACTATACAACTGATTCTCATATCGACTGTGTTCCGTTGACATTGGACACAGCGTACATACCGCGTAGATCCACCGTTCTACCTAGAGCAACGGTTTGTCGCCCTAATCAGAATAGACTAACTCCTTTCAAATTATATAACTAATTATCCATATCAAGTTTACCGAAAGGTGCGACTGTCGACCCACTGAAAAATTCGAAGTCTTTGACCTATGCGCAATAGCCACGTCGCCCACCCTCCGAAGGTGATATCAGAGGACAGCCTAGAGCCCTCTCAGTCGGTAGTCAGTTAACTTGTAAGCGATTGGATTCCTCAATCGTGGGATCCAAGCTCGTACGGAGATAGTTGGATGAAAGGGCATGTGTCGTGGACGCTTTCGGTCTGAGGGGGAAGTCTATGTAACCACTGTCCGTCAGGATTTCTTGTACATAGACCCAGCGGCGAATTCTAGTTCCTCTAGGTAGTACGTCCCGGGACCTGTTCGCGACCAGGTTGTGAGAGCACCAAGACACGTAAGTAGGCAGAATGAGAGCTCGATGTGGAGGGATGAACTTGGTCGTTATATGCGCGAGCCTTTAATATGGATTCGTTGAAGTCTGACGTCCTTGGATGAGGAAGACAACCCTTGAGCTTGAAGCCAGTACCGTGAGTCGGTGATCGGGTACGTGGACGCCAACTTTGTAGTCGTCGACTTCGCTTGGCACGGTGACCCAGAAGTACGAACTGACCCGAGGTGAACGGTTGAACTCTAGTCGTTTGTTACTCAGAGCCACTATGAGATCGGGGTTAACTCATTCATAGCTCACCGTCATCGTATCCTTGCCCTTAACGCAGTCATATGGGGCTTTTCCTTTTGATATCCCCCAGGCCATTAACCTCCCTTTCATCCGCCGACCCCATCAGAGAGCTTGTCAAGTCCTGAAGACAGTGCAACAACGAAGGAAGAGGCTTTGGCTCGGAAGTCGCGTCTCCTGTTGTTTCAATGCGTGACCTTCGTCAGGTTCGTCTTGGATCTTTCTGAACTACGAGGTGAGGGAAAGGAGGAAATGTAGTCAAGTGACGTCGTTATCTACAGAAGGTGGATCATCAGAAAATGGGACGACAAGCATGAGACAAAGACTGGCATACGAAATGACTGAAGCACGCAGCGGGAATTTCAGGACAGCAACTAAGAGCTGTGGTGACGGGCACTAAAGCTCGAGAGTTTTGAAAGTTGGAAGTTGGTCTCGGATACGGTATCCGAGACCAACTCCATTTGCAATGGACACACACGCGGTTAAACGATCCGAGAGAGAGGGTGAAACTGGCTGAGCGTGGTTTTCTTCCTCGGCCAAAGGTGTCGGTGGGCAGCACCTAAAGCATGTTCGTCGTCAGATGGCGGTGGAAAAAAGAAGGTCTGAAAGTGGGCGCACGGTGACTCAGATAGGTTTCATGCGATTGGTACTCTCCGAGTCCTAGTACTCACTGGCGTTTCTCACAGCCAGATGAGTAACGGAAAACGACGAGGTGCCTCAGGTGCAGTGAATATGGGAGCGAAAGTAAGAGTGAGTCAGATAATTGTAAACAAGAAAACGTCTTCGATCCAAATCGAGCTGAACGTTTGAAATTTGAACCTTTATCTTCTCGTCGCTCTGCAACCCCACTTTGAGAAATATGTAAGCCCGGCATTGTCCGAACCGACTCCCCAACCCCACCCCCAATCATAAAACGGGCACTTTTTTTGATACTTACTCCCCCTCTCTCCCACAGCCTCTCTGCTACCCTCCTCTTCACCGGATGTCGGGTGAGGTGGTACGTGTGTGATGGTCATCTGCGTCGTTTCCCCGTGAAGATCGTCTACGTGAGTGTATGAATTGAACAACCCAACATTGCGCTGGGCACAGAGATATCAAAGCTCAGACAATTCGCAGCGACATGCGAGGCGTATTCAGCTGCTGCGGCCTATTGACCCCGACTCTTCCTCGTGATGTCATATACGAACCACGCTAGGTGGTTGAGAGCCAGAGCAGAGGAAGTGCCTTGGTGTTTGTTAAAAATCGACCTTTTGCGGTGAAAAAAAACACGGGAGAGGGCGAGAGAGATGGGAGACCATCAGGGGGGTGGACACTCCTTGAATGGGTGGATGAAGGAGCTCGGGCGCTTGGGCGACGTGGGATGAGTGACAGAGGCGGAATGAGACGGCGCACCGAGCACGAACAGCCCAGAGAGGAAACAGGATAGATGCTCAAATTTGTGCGATGCGTAGCCACTGCCATGCAACATATCGGTCGCGTAGAACAAAATCGTTTGGGTGGGACGAACTGGAGGCTGTCGACGATCCCCTCCATCGATATCAGATCTGGGTGGCCATTCAAGATTTGCGCTACGAAGAAAGGAAGAAGACGTACATTGGGTTTGGGCGCGTTGGTCCCCCATTAAAAGGTATTGCCTCAAAAGATACCCGCTATCTGTGGTCGCGCCCACAGTCGAATGGGCTGGGATGGGTGAGCGTGATAGAGTTAGAAAGGAGGAGAGAAGCGTACCACCCAGTGGAGTTCCATTATCGAACCACCTATTGGCGGACAAGCCATCCGTCGCGTTAAGTACATAAAATACATCCATTATCCTCTCGACCTGCGTACGTGCATCCATAATTGCCGGTATGGAAATGAGAATGGAAACCTCACCTTTTCGTAAAACCCCGCCGTCACCGTCAATTTGGCAAGATACTCGTAATCTAACTGGCAACTCGTCGCTTCGGCGAAGAGGGCGGTTATGCCAAGATCACCCCACCTTGTGGCTCCCCTGCGAAGTAACAGCGAGTCAGAACAACCAAGGTACAACGGGGAAAATATAACCATCGGGGAGGAGATTGCAACACAATCAGAAGAAAAGCCATAGAAAACTCCCAAAACATGTCGAGACCCACTCAGAAGGCGGAATAAGCGTCAATGGCGGGGCGCGCATCGTGGATGGACCTCGGGTAGTAGCCCAACGTAACGAAGGAAAAGCAAAAACATGACCCACCAACTCAAGTCAACGGGCGCATTGCGGGCGCAACCAGCGAATTCAATCAGAAATCGAAATCGAAATCCAAAAGCCACCGTCCACCAAGACGAAGATGAAGAAGTCAAAAATGTGTGCGGATCAGGAATCAACTTGGTATCCGCCCGTCGCGCAACCAGCAAGCGAAGACATGAGAGCAGCTTCCCATTTATCGTTGGGTAAGGCACATGATAAAAGGGTTATGCGCAAAATCCAGGAAACCCAATAAGATTGAAGAAAAGAAACTGAATAGAATGAAGGTGGAGAAAAAACGCTGCTGACGTAGCGTTGAGTAAGGAAAAATTGACAAGGATGGGGGTGAGTTGCGTCTGAACAATGCATGGACTGAATGAACAGCTTTCGGCCGATGTCTAGAGTCAGATTGTGGCATTGCGTAACCAGATGCAAAGTTCGACGACTTTAAAGTAGCAGAAGAACCTAGTGGAACCCAACGCGAAGGTCGACCATGTAGCTCAACGAGAGATAGTGTTATGTCGCCAGGACCCACCCCAACGCCAGCGTGGGTAAAAATCGTCCGCAAAATGACAAAGGACATGGAAGGGTGGGGAGACATCAATCGATGCACGGCCAAAAGGAACTCGCGTCTCCACGTTGCGGTGACTCGGTATGAAAAACAGGGGGAAAACCCAAGTGTGGATGAACAATAATGGAGGAGCCGAGTAAATGTAGTCTCATCCGCGATGAGAACGTACACAGACACTATATGCGTGGAATTTGGGCAACACAAAACAGACGACAAAGACGAAAAGATAAAAACAAACCCACTCACGTATCAGTATTAGCAGCAAACAAAGGCAACCCGAACGATGCAAACACAGGGAAGAGCAGCCTTCTAAGGTCGTCAGCTTTTGAGCGGAGGATCGGGGAGGAGGAGAGTGCGTGCGTTGAGAGGAGGCCGCCGACGTAGCGGATGACTGTTTTGAAGAAGTGGGTGTAGGAGGTCGGGGGTTAGTGAGTTGACGTCAAGGAGGCGTAAGAAGCGAGATGAAGGAAGGGAAGATGATGACGAGGGAAGGAGTGAGGAAGACGGGAAAAGAGAGTGAGAAAGTAGGAAGGAGCTACAGACGGCATGGCTCCCCACAAATCCATGGGCATCTTCGAAATCGTCGTGCAACCCCATTATGTACATTGATCAAGGGAGTCGAGAAGTGTTACGCCCCATCCGTCGAATCTATTTGTTTTGGTTGAGTGGATGGAACGGCGTGATGATAAAATCGGTGACGTACATGATGAGTGCGGTGCGTCGCCCACCATGCGAGATATGGGACGAAGAGGTACTGATTAGTTGTAACGCGCAGGTATTAATTAGCTGTAACGCGCAGTAATCAATATCAAAGTCATTCAGAAGTACATCCAGGGGACTCACGGAATGAAGTTTTCGCAACTACGCAGTCGTATAACGCTCCGTGACCCGCCATGCGCATCATGCCCTATTTATTGAATAAAATGATGTGAGATGCTGTCATCGTTGTCGAAGGTGTAGAAAGCAACTACCGAGACAGAATATACCAGCGAATCAACGTTTACAACCTCTGGAACCACCAATACGCTGCCCACATGCCCGAATTTGATTTGCTTGTCAACGTTGTCGTCCTGATCGCCGATTTTGGGTGGCAGTAGCGTCATCAGTGCCATTGATTGCAACAAGGTCGTAGAAGCCTCTCACCGGCGCCGTCGGTGCTCCGGAGACTTCGTCGAGGACGTGCTGGATGGTGAAACTGAAAGGAGCAGAATCGTTGTTTGGCATTGTGTCTGATCGGTATCTTTGTTTCTCCACCGTGATCATGAATTTATGCACATAACAAGCACATAATTCAAACATAATCACATTTTGGGACGCCAAAAATGGGGGCGGTTTGCTTTAAGAAACCAGACTAGCAGGAACTCTTTTTCAGAAGAGTGAACTGATTTTTGACAATCCAGCGACCCCGTCATTGCTGGGTGAACTTCGCTATCGCGTGTGAAGTCACTGAATGAACAGTGTCGCTGTTCAACTGCTCCGTACAAACGGGACTTCTATATCACTTACTTCAGGTTATTCGTGTCAATGATTTCCTCTTCCATGCAACTTCCATGCAACTTCCATGCCATATCGTTATATTTGGTGATTTTTACATTCCATCCGAAGCTGTGTACAGACTCGGATCTTCCGCACTCTCGACGCGACGATATTCGAACGCGACGTCAAGAATCCGCCACTAGCAAGGCTTGCGCCATCTCCCACCTGCACCGACAAATACACTTTCGGCGATTCGACACAAGTCGCCAATCCGCATTTTTATGCTCGTATCCGTGCCACTGAGCGCGCAAATAGAATTGAGCATTCCACCTCTGAAACGAAGACAATGCAAAGGTCAACTCGTGCTTATGAAAGAGGGTCAGTCGGGCCATGAACGACGACGACAACGAAAGGGCTCACTGCAGTGAAGCACCTCGCATCTCCCTCCTTCTCCGCCCCTCTAACCAAATACATGTGAACGGCATGTAAGCCGTGAAGGAATGTGTCAAAGGTGTGCTCCACCCCCTGGCATCCAGGTTGCTAGAGAATTGATTCTGGATTCGAAGAGGAGCCGCGTGCAGAAATAGGGAATAGCGTCCGCGCGCGTGCATAGCTGATCTTTGAGGTCCTGGTGCCAGGGACAAATGAGGTTCGAGAACATCGTTGATGACCGCTATGGTGGTTAAAATGGCGTTAGCGTCGTCTATGACATGAATGGTGGAGGGAAGTGAGAAGGAATGGATAAACAACGGACAAAATTGAAAGAATGAAGGAGGAAGTTCAAAGGACAAAGGAAGAAGCAAAAAAGAAAAGGCAGAACGAAGGAAGAGAGAAACAGAGGCGGAGAAAGTTGAGAAGGGGAAATACAATGATGTATGCATCTCCAACAGTTGCCAAGTCCTTGATATATTGATACCCTGCAACGTTAACATCAAGTCCACCAGCCGATGAACATGTCCGCCAATGCATGAGGCCGTACCCTGCTAATACAACACATAGCTGCGGCCACCGAACTGCAGATCGTAGTTGTGCTCTCCCTCGATCTGCATAGTATCTGAGGACGTGAACACAGGCTCGAACACGATTTGCTTAGAGGCACCACCAAGGTCGAGGATGGCGTAAGTGGGCGTATCGGGTGCGTGTAAGCTTTGATCGGTTTGAGGAGACAGTTAACAACTCTCCCCGAGTACATGCCCTCGTCCTTTCCAGCCATGATCCTCACTCTGACTTTCTCCTGTATTTGTGAGGGATAAGATGATCGTATCCTACCTTCGCACTCAAAACATCAGCGCCCTTGAACCCGGTAACAAACGGAGTGAACGAATAATTTTCTTGCTTTCGATGAACGTTTCCCTGTGGCCATGCGTACGTTTCACACACCGCAATGTAGCGGTACAGTCCTCGGAACTTTTGAGCTCCATCAATCTCCTGATGGAGGGACGTCCGCAAGAAAGGCGTGTTTTTATGAGAGTTGTCATAATAGGTACTTGATCCGTGCGCTTCACCTGCAACGGTAAGTACGACCGCCCAACAGGTAAGCACCTGACGAAAATGCTAGGGCCGTCGAAGTATTGTTTGGCTCGGCAGGAAATGGTTATGGTGCAAGGGTTAGAGTATAGTGGATCGGGAAAGTATGAATAGTAGCGTCGTAGCCTGGTAGATTGCATGGTTTCGATTCGTCCGAAGCTCGAAGTGCAGCCTAAAGCATACCAAATCCTTGGGACATTCTTTTTCGGCAGCCCTCAATGCGGAGGCTGTTGGAATTTGTTCAACTTGAAAACCCGAACGAGGAGAATGTCGAAAGACTGAGTCCGGGAATGGCGAAACGATCCCGGTTTTTGATGTCTGTGCTCTACAGTCAGCTTGGAGTTTTGCACCGTAAGCGAACGCGGGGAGCGTCAAAGTGAGAAAGTTAAGGTGGGCAAGGGAGGCACACGTAGATAGCTCTGTCAAAAGCAGACAAGACCATCTGAAGATACGTAATGGAGGGAGGGATAAATTACTTAGCGTAGAACGTCAACCCCTCGCGGTGCAAGTGAAAAAGGGGCGATAACTCGCTTATACGCGCGCAGTCCGTAACATCCTGACACATCGTTGACGTCTTGTCGGTTGGTTATACGAGGTCCGAAGAAGAGAAGAGGAGAGCTGGGCGCGTCAATCTGCAGTGGTGGTTGGTGGTGTCCACTAGTATAGTGTGGCATTTCCAGAGCTGCGAAACGACGAGTGTGAGGCAGAAGTTGAGTGCGTTGAATGTTATCATGATCTTTCTCGGATTGCCATCAATGGTTTGAGAATGGCCAGGAATATCTCCCGGGCCTGTTGGTGATGAAGGTCGCAAATTGGTCGCAACGTGATGTCATCATCACGTGTCTTTTTTAAGCCTTCCTTCAAGTTCGCAAGGCACTCGGTGCATCGATGGAATTGTATTCGGCACTCGCACTCTTGGAATATCCATCTGGTTTCTGCTCTTAGAATTGTCACATTCCCTGACTATCGCCACAAACTGCACGTGCACCCGCACCCTCTTCACATTCCCATCAGCACCACCCGCATCATGTACATTTGCAGAGACCACATCTGTCTAGCAGCGCGTTGAGATGCTCCCTCGCGCCAACGGAATCAACAAGATCGCTATGAATTAACCATCACCTATGACCACGACGACAAGTCTAAATGCTTACCCGCATCTAGGCCATTACTCACGAAGACGCGGCGAGGACGGCGCTAGGCGCGTGCACTTCCATCAGGATCAACAAGCATAAGGAGGAGCGGCTGCAGCAACAGCCGGCGGGAGGACAACAACCAAATCCACTGGCTCAGCATGGCCAGGTTCAGCAGTATCAGATGCATGTTGTTTGCGCCAGTCGTTACGGGCGCACCGATGAAGAAGCCAACATACTATCCGGTTAGTGGGGGTTAGTATTGGAGTGGAGATTGTGTGTGCTTTACCTGGGTGTGCTAGGTGGGTCCGTTTTCTGCCATTTTCAAGGTGTTCGATCCTCAGACAATCCTCGCTAGGGTCTCGTTTGGCGTGTTCTTTCTGGCCTTTGGAACATCTTCCATTGACTCCTCTGTCCTGTTTCCACTCCCATCCCTCTTTCACCGTCCTCAAATCTTTCCACTCACACGTCAACACATGGATTCAAGCCATACAAGCGGTGACCACGCTCAGGAGGGGCGTTTCCTGCGGCACGGCATCGCAAGATATCAACTTCTGGTTGAGCCTCGAGTGCGTATTGGACGCGATAGAGGCACAGTTGAGGAGCGAGGAGGTGGGGTTCATGGATGCACTGAGGAATGCAAAGAGGTTCGATGCCACTGTCAGTTTTACAGCTGATACCGGGTCCTACAGATCTCGGTAGGTCTCTCCTTCCCAGATTTGTTATTGTGTTCAACGCTAACGACGGGAACAGTAAAACCAACTTATAAAAGACTTCCCATTCAACGACCTCCTCTCTCTCTTCCTATCACGACGAAGAACACGAATTCATTATCTCCCACCTAAACGGAAACTCAGACTATCTCCCTACCCAATCCGTTGAACTCTCTCACTCGTCGAAGCAATCCTAAGAGATTTCAACGACATCCTTCTCCGGATCTCAACATCCCACCGACTAGCGTACTCGCTTTACCCAACCTTCGAGTGTCTACTCGCACAAATGACGGCGATATTTAGGACGTGGGACGAGGAATTCATGAATGTCGCGAGGGAGGCGACGAGAAAGAGGAGTGAGAAGGTTATTCCGACGCATTGGAAGCTTGTGGAACGGGTGAGGTATTTGAGGAAGTTGGCTGTTATGACGGATCCGACGAGGGGGTTGGCCTTGGAGGAGAATAAAGGGGGGACAGGAACGGGAACAGGCGTACCCCACCCAGCTACCTCGCCTTCGTCAAGACTCAAATTGCCCCCCACCCACGCCCAGACTTCGATTGAAGAGGAATGCGGCTGTTCTATTTTCGCCTACAAGTGCTTCGTTTTCGGCCAAGAGGCCTTGGTCTTCTGCCAACACGTACTCCGCTTCCACTTTGACCGCCTCCACCTCCACCTCCAGCTCCAGCACCACCAACAACACTTTTACCCCCTCCTCCTCTATCTCCACCGCCCCAAACACATCCTTCGTCTCATCAATCTTCCCACCCTTCCACGACGCACGCAACCTCACCGCTCCACCTCCCAAACCCAAGCACTTACACAAATAATAACGCTAAGAGCAGCCTGCGCACACGACGAATGGAGGCGGTCCATAGGTGGTTCCTCAGAATTTGCATTTCGATATGCTTGCTTGTTCGCCTGTTGAGGAGCGAGCTGTTTGTCTCCCTGTTGAGGGGCAGGGGTGTGGAGGGGGTGAGGAGGGACAAAGGAGTCAGGAGGGGAAGCGTAAATGAGGGGCGAGCGATTGAAAGTCAACAGAACTCGAAGACCCGACTTCGGCCCACTACTAGTGGAAGAGACGGGGTCGGGGATGGGGACGAGTTCCCTTCTGCTGCTAGTGCGTTCACTCCTGCCTCTCGTGGGGTTTCCTATGGAACGGGGAACGCTTTGTATGGGGAGCATAGGTACCCATGTTGACTGCTCGTCCGGATGCGTTGACTGCGCACCGGGAAGTCTTTGCAGCCAGTCCAGTGGTATTTGCAGCTCCAGCGCCAAAGTACGCTTTACCTGTTGAGGGATCCTTGGGAGAGAGCTCTGGGTATCGCGGGCTCTAGGCACAAGAGACCCTTGGCGGCTGATGCCAATGCGATGGACATTGATGTCCAGAGTTCCTCGTTGGGAGCTGAGGCGGAGAAGAGAGAAGCGAATGTGAAGAGTGTGGTTGAGGCGCGGAAGGCTCCGCGAGAGAAAGAGAAATGGAAAGAGAAAGAAACTGGGAAGAGCATGGGCGCTGCGCGTAAGGGTGCAGAGGCGGCCGGTACTGGACAATCCACGATCGAGACGCGAGCAAGAGGAAGAAGCGGAAACAAATGCACCGACGTTTTCGGAAGTCCAGTCGCTAGAGGCGTTGTTGTCATTTCTGGAAGGCAGTCGGGCGTTGAAGGAGTCGGTTGTCAGTGGAAAGGCAGTGATGGAAACTCGGTTGGACGGTTTGGAAGGGCCGTTGGGAAACTTGAAGAAAAAGCTGGATGGTTTTGGGACTGTGAATGTGGACAGGAGATTCACCGCATTTGACGAGAAATTGTCAGGCGTAGAAGGGAAGGTTTCGAGTGTGGAGTCGGCTTTAGAGGGTATCAAGTCCTTGTTGGAGGCCGCCTCAACGAAGGTCGGAGAGTTGTCAGGGAGCCTGGAGTAGAGATCGCGTCTCCTGGAGCAAAGGACTCAATTTGCCGAGGTACGACTTCAAATCGTGGAAAGTTGTCCAGTGATGTTGACAGCCAGTACCCAGACGGGCAGCTTACCCTAAGAGGCGGGGATACAAACTGATGCACAGAAGGAAATGGAAGAACTTTATTACATCGACCGACAGGACCGCGATGTCACGATGGCAGACGTTTCTGAGGCTCACGCAGCACGCTCATAGGGTTAATGAGAGTCTGGCCGTCGTATGCGACGAGACTGTGACGAAGACTCAAGTGCTCTCAGTAATGAGGAAGGATGGTGCTGTCAGCAAGAAAGGGACGGAGAAGGAGGGCGAAGAAGAGTCGCGCGAGGAGCAGGAACTTGTCTCTGATGCTCAGCCGCAACCCTCCACTGGGGAATCCGCTCTTTCTACGCTTCTTGAAGAAGTCAGGGCTAGGATAGGAGTTGAGGATGTAGAACTCAGATGTCAGTCACCGTGAAGTGAAGAACGACTGAATTGATTAAACTACCTGTAGACGACGCTTATAGCAAGGACACCGCAGTGCGTTCGCTACAATTCTATTCAATCCTACGCCCACAGGACCTTTGAATAAGGTTGAAAGTAAGGAATACATTTTATGACACATTGTATCAGAGCTCTGACTATCACTAGAGGTACGCCTTTAAGTTCGGTTATTTCGTAGATTCCGACATGATTCAACGGCTGCGATTGTTTTGTTTTCCGAGGTCTTCTGACTCTTCTCCGAAAACGGGTGAGTATGTATATCCAAAAAAATATATTATATTATCCAGCATGCCAGTTTGTTGCTGAAATCGTCATCCAACGCCAATCCCGCCCAACAACAAGCTGAGTTTTCCTTGACTTCTTCTCACAAGTTTTGAAGGGGTACTATACTGATTTGGGGTATAGAATGTTGGAAAAATAATCATTTTCAAGCTGAAAAGCAGGTAAAACGGTCAGAGTGAGGGAAGGAAAGCAGCATGTCGTTTCCGAGTCCAAGCAGATGTCAACATTGTGCGACGACATCGCCTGCGCCGCTCACCATCCTACAGGTGGCTGCATCACAGCCATCCACTCCTCTGCAATCAACACCAACAGCCCCGCACAAGGGGGTTACATTGGTCCATGATAAGCTGGTGCGCAATGGGGCAGAAACCCTTTCAGGTTTCTCCCCAACCACCAGCACAACGCGATGCCTATCAGCCACATTGGTTTGAATACCCCTGATATTGACTCTCTATCCGCATTCTATCTGGCGGCTCTCTCTCTGTTGGGTTACAAGGAGAAGATGTCATTCATGGATGGCAAAGTGCGTGGATACGCCGGTGGGTGTGAGCCAGACTTTTGGTTGTCTAGCCTGGATTCTCGTCCCGAGGAGTTGAAGAAGGAAACCGGGCCGTTGCACCTTGCGTTCACGGCACGAACGCACAACCAAGTCAGGGCCTTTCACAGTGCAGCCTTGTACATCGCTCTTTTTGTCCTTCGATCTTTCAAAGTTGACATTCACCACCTTAGGAAGGCGGGTGGTACCTGCAACGGACCCCCAGGATTGCGCGCTCAGTACTTCATGACTTACTACGCCGCGTTCGTCGTCGATCCAGAAGGACGAAACATCGAAGCGGTTTGTATGAAACCTGGATTTTGGGCGGAGGAATGGAGCTGGGCAGTTTGGACCGCTGTTATCGGTGCAACTGGAGTGGGACTGGGAGCAGTTTGGAATTATGTGCTGTGATCGCATGGGTGAAAAGCTTCGTCGTTGTCCTTTCTATCTTGTACCTGGCTCCCGGACCATGATTGAATGTTACGGGCGACCGGAATACATTACCGCAAATGAGTACATGTCTATATGATATAGCACGACATTCAAGATACATCAAGAAACTGAGAAAATTACATTACAAATGAAACTACTAAAACATCCCGGGAAGGAAGTACAACGCTGATGTTCATCGATGCCCAGCTTTTCCCTTGGGACCACGTTTATGCTGTCCTCGCCTCGACTCCTTCGGGTATTCACATGTAAGATCTCGACGCAGACATTGACTAAAAAATGTGGTAAGAAAGCTAATATCAAAATAAAGTCGATTGCGTACGCGCAAGTTTGGTCAGGTTCATCCTCACTTGGGCGACCACACGCAATTTTCCTCTCCCTGCAAAATAAACATGCGAGACTCAACCTCTTCTGCTCTCCGTCTTTCTTCGGGATGTGTGGTTTAGGCGGAGGTGTGGTCGACTGACGTGGGGGTGGCGCCGACGCTACCTTTTGTTTGACCGGCGCGGGAGACGATCGACGACGACTGGAGGACGGAAAATGTGGTTTAAAATCCATATCTAAATCAGAATCAGACGAAGGCCTTTCCTTCCTTTTCGCCTTAGAAGTTTGTTGAGTTTTGGGCTCGGAGGGGGTAATCGGAGCTTTTGAAATCTTGGACTCAGCGCGACTGAGCTCCGATAGAAAAAGTACATTGGCTGAGAGCTCGGAGTATGAAGAATGTTGAGTAGGGGAAATGGGAGTGTGTTGAGAGCAATATGGGAGTAGATTGACGGCACTGTAATGAGGCTGGCCAAACGCGTCGTATGCGAGTTGGTCCTCGCATGGAATCTCATAGGCCTGCCATTCAACAGAACCTTCCGCGGAATTGTGGTACTGGAATGAGCTGCGCGTGCTGGGTTCGGAGACCGGGGGACTCGAAAAGTCCCAATCACCACGCGCCAAAGGCGTCTCGCAAAAGGTGTCCGAAACGTAATAAGCGATGCCGCCGGAGGGCTGCTGGCTTCGAAAGCGATCACCTTCATCATGCGGGACGTGTATATCATCGGACCTGTCAAACTTTGGTATGTCAGCTTCTGCGGTGTAAATAGGAATTCAGTGGCCACCCACTGCCTCCTGGTGCGATGCAACATGAAATTTTTGAGTTGCGGGGTCATAGGTGGGTGAAAACGTTGGTTGAGGCAAGTATAGATTCGGAGCAGGTGTCTGAATGTGGTTTGGTTGCCTGCGACCCATGGCTGTGAGTGGTTGATTCAAATCGAGAAGGGACCGTCGGTTCTCATCGCGGGCAGCTGGGGAGAAGGTGGGTTGAAACGTGTCCTGATAAGAGGAGCCGTATAGGTTGGACATGATGTGATGCAAGTATCCGAGTCGTCGTATGGTCAGAGGCGAGAAAGAATGGCGAAGATGAGAGGACGATGAAAGAGATAATGGCGGTGGTTGTGAATGAAAAGTCAGGATGAGACGCCCTGAAGACGCCTTGAAGGCGAAAAAGGATAAACAAAATTCGGGGTGAGGTACAATTCATGTGAACCCTCACGTACAATCGAGCTTAACCTTCATTGGTCACAAGTTCTGGGCAAAAGGCCTGCCTTGCGCTTGTCAACAAACGTCAAGTTGATCCGTTCACGTGTCCCAAGGGTTCGGCGACATCGCGGATGAGTCCGCTCAACTCCATTTATGCGCCAGGACTTGTAGAATTATAATGAAGTTGCACATTTCTAAATGATCATGACCAGTAATTGATCAAGTTGTCATCGATTAAATAATTACGTATCCGCAGAATGCGGGGGGCTCGCTTCGCCATCCGAGTTGTGTGGCAGCTGTACCAGCATTTACGTGGATATTCGTCGACGCGATGTTCAAGCGATGTTGCATCATGTCTGCATCATGTGTTCACCACCCAGTTTCTGTACTCCTAAGATAATCGTAGAAAATCAGGACAAAACCCCCAATTTTTGCTCATATTATTGTAAACGCTATCAGTCCCCACCTAGATCTAGAATTTTGAGGGTAGGGAGTAAATACTTGCTGAGATACAAGCCATTCAACCTATTTACATACTGATGCACATTTACGTTCACCAATTTGTACTTGTTTGTCCGGGCCTTTCACCCTTAGTCAATGATTGCTCGCTGCGCTCGCAATTACGTAGGTTCATTCATGCACGACAAATCCACAAGGACAAGATCAAGTCTTTGGAGTTCCCGATCTTGTAATGAATTGTAAGATAAGATGATGTCGCGCATCACAGCCTCAGATGTATTGTCAGGTCTTGGGGAGGGGTCACCAGTTTTTAGAAACGCGAGGACGACAGCCACATGTCAACTTGGATCCGAGCGAAGTGGATCCAATGAAGAACTGCTGTCCCATCGTTGTGGCGGAATGTGTCAAACCGAGGGTAAGTTTGAAGATGTGATGCTCTCGGGGTCAGAGTGTAAACCTTATGATTGCATTGGCAGTGGCCCCACTCAAATCTGCTTGCTTTCCAGTAGCTTGTTGCTCTGTTTCAGGTATACATGTTCATAATGTTCTCAATAAATTCACGCATGTCATAAACAATTGTCAATGGTATCAAAACGGTATCCGAGTTTTCGGCTTTTTCGGAAATGCGATCACCACCAAAACTCGTCATAATCTTTTTGATAGAAAAAGGAGTTGTCGAACAGAAGTCGCCTACACACATCGAGGTTCTATGCATTGTCTTTGAAGATATACGCGTTCTCGATGTTTCTTTGTCCTGGTTGGTGGGAAGATGAAATAAATCAAAGATAATTATTGGAGGTCGCCCACAATTCGTACTCGTTGAAGATGAAGATAAAACGAAATGAGAATCTTCCCTGACCTTCTCACCTATTCGTTGAATTTCTTTGATGACCATTGGCGGGATAATCCTCCTCTGCGGTGATACTTATTAATATTCCCATAAATTCAAACCCTTTCACCTCGATACTGCCCTTGATTTTGTTCGTGGAACGCAATATTAATTTTAAGTGATCATCAGGACAGGGACAGTCCAAAGCTGATAAACTGCCGATTTCTTTACCTTGCTTCAGATGCCGTAGATTACCATCCCCCTGTGACACGATCATTCGATCACGGCTTGAGGCTAAGGAAATCAAGAGTTTGAGGATCCAGTTTACGAGGTTGCTTTCAACATTCAACACCCCAGACCGAGGCGGGATGCACGGCAGGAATTATTTTATCCCCTACCAGCGGTACTGAGCCTTCCTTTTTCCTTAGCCAGTTATATAATGTTCGCCCCCTGCTTCGCGTTACATGGCGTGTCGGGTCATGTGTTCAACTAATCTTGTCAAGTACATGGCGATGATATTGGTTGGCCTCAGATAGGCATTTGAGATCGCAGCGCCAAGATAAGAGAGAAATGCTCCGCCAGCACAGGGAGCCGGTAAGTCAGAGGAAGACCGTTTGATGTATCCAGGGTTGTGGGCATTATAGATTTCGATCCCCTTCCAAGTTCCTGAGAGACGAAAGATTGTGTTACATAGTATTGAAATTCTAGGCACTGCAATAGCGTTTCTTACCATGTGAGGGGGTGGACTGGCCCAGACTGTAGTAGGAAGAGTAACTTGAAGTACGCTCGAATGACCTCACAGTCGATCACGCCGCAAAACCACTGCAAGGTCAACTGTGGCGTACATAGCACCAGTGCGCAAATGTGCTTATGGAAAAGACGCCCTTTGATGCCAGTGCAGGATTGCCCTTTTGAATCCCGAGTCGGCATGTCACATGTACACCAAAGCGCCGCAAATGACATCGTGTAAAGATTTATCAGTAATGAAGACAAAAGCCTAGAGGTGGCGCTAACTAACTTGGATTCAACCAGACGAAAAAACAATACTTGGCTTGTGGATCCGCAAACACGTGTTGGACTTTTCTATATGGATCAGGTTAGTCACTGAGGTGAATCAAATGATCACGGACCATGCCAAAACTGGCTGGTGTGCGTGTGTTCGTCCAGTCCAGTGCCAAAATGCAGTCAGGTGACAGGCTGTGAGCACCCCTCTCGACGCAGTGACTGCAACTGTGAAAGGTTGTGAAAAATACTGTCGGTAGTATGAGTGAAATATGAAAAGTCAACTCATGATCAACGGCCAAACACAGAGAAATCGGGAGATGCGTCAGTCGAATTTGAGTGATTCTTTAAAGGGGCAATGAGAAAGAAAAGCGACACGTCACATATGGATGGGGCGATCAGAATGGGGTCAATTACTCAAATGAAGGTGACTCACTGGGCGAGCGCTCCACCTTGTTCCAGAAAATATAGATCCTGCTATAGCAGATCTTGACAGACTTTCCGCCCATACATTAATCAGAGAACATCTCTCCCAACAATCATGACCACCCAACGCTTATATGTCATCGCCGTCATACCTGGAGATGTACTTAATTGGTTGAGAAGCGACGCCACCTGCCTAATTACATTGTCTTCTCACTGGCCCCTCCTATTTTCAAATAATGTAGATAGGAGCAGGCTCATTAACTTGATTCGTATTTTTTCTTGCCCTTTTTTCAGTTGGACGGAGACGAGAGCCTGACACCTATCACCTGGGGGTATGATCGAAGTTGTCAACGACACGGGAAAGCCAATGAACCAGAAAAAATGAGTTTTGTTCCTTGTTTGCTCCCCGACTCTAGCCACGAGTGAGTTTGGCCAATAAGAACTCGGGCGTAGGCTTTGTTCGAGATATCGCCCGCGATCGTAATATTTTATTCAGTGCGGCGTATGCTGAAATTGATCGTCGATGGCGATCCTGTGCGTAAGCATGTCAGTAGCATCAATCACGATCTCATAACGTTGGGTAGATGGCGTAACGGTCAACACTACCAATCTCGACTGAGTCAAATTGTGGAGATGAAGGTTCAAATCCTTCCCTGTGCATAAGGCAGTATTATTTTTTTTCCTTCTTCAAACTACATATGTTTTGAACTAAGATGTATCACAGTATCTGAGTGTGCCACATTCGACTAAGTCAAACTGTGGAGATGAAGGCTCGAAAGTTCAGAGAGTCCGAACCGCCGCGCCTGTCCGCCTGTCTGGTTCGCACGGCACCTGCCGCCACCTTTGAAACACGGTCACGACCCTCTTCACCTTTGCGCCGTTCGTGCATCGAGGCTCGACACTTGCTGTTACTACTCCAAAGCCTAACATGGGTGCCAGCAATCCAGCGCTCAACTCTGGGCCTGATGTTCAACCCACGACCTCATCACCAACATGAAACCCGGTAGCTTGGCCTCGATTGGAAAGGTGCTGATGGCAGCGACGTACGCTCCTTTGCGTCCTTTTCAATGGAAACTGCTGACCGTCTCCTAGTGGCCTCACAATATCGGCCCAATGCTTACATATGTAGCATCTTGCTGGTCGACGACCTGACGCGCAAACTGCCAAATAGTTCAAGATTGTCCATGTACGTGGTGCTCCTGGCTCTAAGTTTCTCCCGAATTGCGCTAACAATCCCCGCTTATGTACAACAGTGTCCTGCTCTCTCGCAAGCGTACAAGTCATATACAACCTTGCGCCACGAAATTACCTTGTCGAAATCATGGCTCTCCATCTCGCCATATCACTCGGCGGTGCGGAGTTCTATCCTACCTGTTCGCAGCTCACGGTTGGCGCATCGGGCACTGGGGTCCCTGACCCTTCGGGGTTGGTCAATTTGCCAGGCGCGTATAGCGACAACGACCCTGGCATCTTTTATTCCCAGATGTTCGATGCCAGTGCACCAAAGGACACCTTCCCCGGTCCTCCCGTCGCTGCATTCGTGAACGGTGGCACTTCCACTCCTGGTAACGCAACCACGACCGTGTCTTCTACGGCAACGGCAACCCAGACCAGTGGTGCTGCTGGGACGTCAACAACCTCCAAGGGGAAGATGTGCACGCTCAAGAAGGGCAAGTCCGCCTCTTCGTTGGTTGTTCCATCAGCCTCCGCAGCGGCAGCCAGCGCCACCACCACCGACATGTACCCCCGACACTTCAGCAGACTTGCGCTTGGCCACAGTATCTAAAATGCCTCTAACTACGACACCCCACGACATGCACACCCGCGATTATGACTGCTGTTTAGATCTTGCCTTGTTGTATACCTACCCAGTCATTAGGCTGTATAAAACATCGCTATCATTGCAATAAAAATTCGCATGGACGCGAATTGGACGCGAAGTTCATTATTCAAGTTACAAGTACGGTTACTGGAGTTCAATGGAAGCATCGTTTAAGTACTGACTCAAGTTTTGTGGGATCCTGGCAGCTACCTTGGGGGAGACCTGGTCAACGCCAATAGTTGCGATAGACCCACAAGTAGATTGTAAACTAGAAGATGTGCACGTGACGATTCTGCCTTAGGCGGACAGGCGGATCGGCGGCAGTTCGGAGTCTCGAAATACGGAACGTCCTCCAGAAGTTAGGTAACACATAATTTTCAATATCACCACGTTGTTCTTCTCGATAGTGATAACTCTCGCGCTACCTCCCATCCTTCCCCGCCCGTGTAAGGTTGGGTTAGAAGGCATGTTGAATTCACCTCTTTGAGCTGTACAAACTCGAATTTTGCATTGGATTGGGAGGTGCCATAAAACCCTAAGTTCAGAGAATTTAATCATTACTATTTGTCGCTGTTTATCGACACCCCATATTTGCTTGGCAGGGCGGCATTTTGCGGTTTCAACCCAGACAACGACGACAACCACCGTCCAGCCTCGATTCCATGGGCACGACACGCGGCTCGAACGACTGACATCGACGATTCAGAAAGTCAGCAAGAAGACAGCCGAGATACCGGATTGGCTTGATTACAAGAGCCACACGTTCTGGTGATCGAGAGACAGGTGAGTCTGGTGCGCGGACCTTGAAAGGTGTGCTGTTAATCGTGAGTTGAAGGTCAGCTGTACAGATCGTTATTTATCAAGTGTGAACGGAAAAAATCATCCACGACGTCCTGGTGACGGAGACTCGGTACCGAGAGCAGAGTGCCAACTGAACACTCTGTTTGTTCGAATTGTGAGTCACTTGTAGGACTTTTCTTACACTCCTTGTGTTGACAGCTACAGCAAGATATTTTATCCATACGCTGTCCCTCTTTCGACCAAGCCAGACTTTTACATACCCGCAACCACTCAGCTAACCAAATGCGATCGACGCCTTTACACAAGTACGAGGAGCTCGACCATAAAAACATGACGCTCGCGTCCACCGTACAAGGCCCTAGCAAAAGCAGCGGTGGCAGTGGCATAGCAGCCGCATCTATCGCATCACAACTCTCCTCATCCCAACAAACCTCGCAAACGCTCTACATGCCCATCGCATCACCACCTACACCCGCGCCCTCTCCAGCTACTCTTCCTTCCACACTAATCAACCCCACATCCCATCACGCAACCCTTACTCGCCTGCAAACCCGCTCGTCCGCAGACAATTCCTCACAGATGTTCTCAACAGCTGTACACCCTCCAAGCTCCTTTTCATCTCAACCACCATCGCGCCGCTACTCAAACGGGACTTTTTGTCTTCCCTCCCTGTGGAGTTGGCGATCCATCTTGGGGTTCATCGATCATCGATTATCCGAAGACGCTTGTGCGAGGGGCGCAGGTTAGTCAGTACTGGTGTTTGCTTGTGAGGGACGAATGTGTGTGGAAGAGGATGTGTGTCATCTTTGGATTTGATGATGATTGGTTTTTGGGGGGTGGAGAGACCTTGGGCCACTTGGGAAATATGGCCACCCTTTCCACTTCTTCTCTCCACGCCCCTTCTTTTCTTTCCTTCTACCGTCCCAGCTAACTAACGAGCCACCCCCTCTCAGACAATGCATCCACATCCTTCAAGGGCACACCTCCACCATCCGCGTCTTACACAACCGCCCCATCGCCATCAGTGGCTCTCGCGATGCGACGCTGCGAGTATGGGACGTCCAGAAGGGGAAGTGCCTACGCGTGTTGGAGGGACACCATCAAAGCGTGAGGTGTCTTGATGTGTGTGGGAGGAGGGTTGTTAGTGGGGGTTATGATAATACTTGTCGGGTGGGTGCTTTTTTTTGCTCTTTTTGTTTCTTTGTTTTGGGGTGGAGAGCCCGGTTTTTCTCGAGTCTGTGACTCTTTTTGTTCGAGCTGGCTGGGCATTCGAGAGGGGCTGGTGTCTCTTTTGAGAGCCCGGCTGGCGGTGCGCTTTTTTTGGGCTAGTGGAGTTTTTCCTTGAGCCCAGCTGGTGCCCTTTTTTTTCAAGCTCGGGTGGTGCTCTTTCCTCGAGCCTAGCTGGCGCTCCTTCCTGGCGCTCTAACGCTCTTTCCTCGATCCCAGCTGGCGCTTTTTCATTGAGCCCAGCCGGCGGTCATTCTTCTCTTTGTACCTAATTCAGCTGGCACTCTTCTTCGGAATCCAGCTGGGCTCCTTTCTCAGGTCAAAATGGCCCTCTTTCCTCAAGTCCAGATAGCATTTCTTCAAACAGGCCGAATGAAGCTCTTGCTTCCAGTCCAGATGGCATCTTTCTCCACACCGCAGCTAGTGCTCCTTTCCAATCAATGTTTCTTTTGCTTCACGTGGTGTTCTATCTTTCAGATCGTTCATCTTTCTTTCATTTCAGCTAAACTGTGCTCTTTCTTCGAGTACAGCTGTGGTTCTTTCCCTGCGCCCAGCTGCTCTCTTCTCCACTGCTCTTTCTCCGAGTCCGGAGGGTGCTTTTACTCGAGTCGAGTGAATGCTGATGATGTCGTTTTGTGCATAGGTATGGGACGTGGATACTGGCGAATGCATCCATGTCCTCGAGGGGCATTTCCACCAGATATACAGCGTCGCTTTCGATGGTGTGAGGACCGCTTCGGGAGGACTGGACATGACCGTTCGCGTCTGCGCTGCTGCTACGGGGTGTGTATCTCTTCCTTCTCTCTCGACACGCAACTAACGATTGCATGACAGCGAATGTCTGGCCCTCCTGCAAGGCCACACTGCTCAGGTCTGCCAACTCCAACCTGCGTCATTCATGCCCCCATCCAGCCCTTCTTCTCCCCCCATCCCAATCCTCGCAACAGGTGGGTCCGATGGGCGGGTCATCATGTTCTCCCTGGCAACATACACCATCCTGTACCATATTGCCGCACACGACTCTTCCGTCACCTCGTTGCAATTCGATAAATGGTGGCTGGTGATGGGTGGGAACGATGGGTGGTTGAGGTTGTTTGAGACGGAGATGGGGAATCATGTGCGGGATTTGAGTGAGCCGGGGGAGAGTGTTTGGAAAGTCGTGTTTGGACGGGATGTTTGTGCAGTTATGTGTAAGAGAGCGGGGAGGAGCGTTACAGAGATCTGGAGCTTGAGGGGGATGTTAGGACGGGGTGGGTGATAAAGGGCGGTGGGTTTGTAAAGGGGAGGAAATGAGCTGGTTATGTTGTTATTGGGACCTTCGAGGGTGATTGTTCGTATCTCATTGGTGTTTCTTGATTATTTTGTTCTTGTTGTATTTGTTAACTTGCTCCTTATCATTATTGATGTAGAAGATTCATTCTTTTTGCTGAACTTCGAATGAATAAATTGACTGTTGTCTGTAAGTAACTGCCTCGTAGATTTGGGCTGGGGCCACTACTTCAACTGCACCACAGACCGTCGGACACTCAGACATTCGGATTTCTCAAAACTCAGACTTTCTGCAGTTCTCAGCCTTCCAAAATATGGATGAAAAAATGAATTGGTTAACTATGTATGATATGCTTTGAGATGCCATAACTATCCACTGAACCTCTGTGCCCTACTCTGAGTCTGATGTAACAGCAAGCCTGCCAACAGGGCATTCAGCAACCATACAAAACAGACGGAAATACTCACTTCTTCAGAAGACTTAGAATACCTGATTGTATTTCTTCTTGTCGCATTATGGAGGAGCGCTGGAAAGTGAACAGTTCCGTTTGTAGTTCAAAGGACTTCTGTAGGGTCGTTTCAACACGCTGGAGTGTGCCCTCCACATGTTCCATCGTGGATTTGAGATTTTCCAGGGTAGTGGTCATCTCACTCAATCGGTGTGAGAGATCGGCGGTAGTTCTTGCGTTGGCCTCTTCCTGCTGAGAGAAGTGATCTCGCAGGAAGTGTTTCAACGAAGACTCTATATGTGTCATCAAGAAAATCCTGAATGTTATGATTAGAGCTGAAACATACCAGAATCAGATAGAACTGGAGATGGGGGCTGTTCTGCCCGAGATGATGACTGTGCTGCAGAGCCATAGAGATATTCGGTAGTTGCCATTCGGGATAATGGGACATCTGCAGGTGCTGCAGGTGCTGGATGGGTCGATAGTGGCTCAGTCGATGTAAGAGAAACACCAGACAGTGAAGGCATGCTGGAAGTGATAACGATGATGATCAGTGTGGGAAGTGGGCCTTTACATAGGCCGAAAAGAAAGACCTCCTATCACAGCTGATGAAAGCATCACGAGTGCAGGCCAAACAAACCCGAATCGGGGTCGCAAGGGGTGACCGGTACCTGAGATCTCGGTATTTTTTGATGACGTTCGATCACCTCGTCTGAAAAAAAAGAGGCCGGATATCATTTTCGGCCAAGTTGCTCCCAAGCACTCCCAAGTGACGCCGATTCAACTGCGCTCGCTCAATTATTATTATGTTTGGCTACTACATACATGTAGACTACAGTATCTACAGAAGTGGCCTTTCTTGACGTAGTCAGATCCAAATAATGAGACCAATGTGGGGGTTTGGGAGAAAAAACGCACCCAGTGCAACGACGCGTCTTAGAACCCAGTTGCTCTCGTTGAAGTGAGGGACGTTCTGTCTTTGTTACCCTTCTCGTCCTTGATCCCCTGAATCTGCAAAGGAAAAAGCAAGTTTTATCTGATCCTGGGTTAGTACTATGACGTTTGAGAATCAATGACGACCGCACTCACAGCAGCAGTGCACGGCGCCAACCCCCCAGCTAGGCACAACTAAAACGGCAGTCGCCACCCCCGTTTGGATGCGAATGGGTTCGGATTATGGGCACGGCGAAGACGTTGGTGGAATTCTTTGTACGAGCGCGGCGAAGGCAGTGCAGATGTACTCGAGTGCCTGGGTAGGGTAAAGTAGTGAGTCATTCCTGTTGAGACATAGATAAGCCGTGTTTCGTTGTAATGATACTCGACAAATGCTTGCTTTTTGACCCCCAGTGCATTTCATGTAGATCGGACAACCGGTGCAGCAAAAATAATTGTTGATCAAGCGTCAAATAAACGAGACAACTTATGATCGGCGGAAGGTTCGGGAGAAGCTCGGGACAGCTTTAAGAATTGTGAGCGATTCAACAGTAATTGAATGCCTTCCCATATTAAGAATTTGAAGACGTCGGTTTTTATCATCGATGGTCGTGACGACTGCCAGCGAGGATTTGGGTTTTCAAATCCTAAGCGACGGGGTCATTGAATGCAGTCTTTCAGAATTTAGACGGGGATCGTACCGGTACTTAGACACCAACGCAAGGACAGCTTGAGGCGCGATGCGAAGACGCCGGCGGGCCATCAGTGAGCGCCTACATTCAACAGCAGTCGGAGTTTTTATTTTCTTGCCTAATTGTGAATTTTCGATGAACGTTTGTTCATTCATGATGTAGATTCAAAAAGCGTCGATTGGGGACAGAAGGACACGAAAGACTATTCCCTCAGATCTAGACATCTGTTGATTAAAAGTATAGCCAAATTAGCGTTTTGGTTGTCGATAAAAAGAAGTATGTCCCGTCACACCCAAATCCATCCGGAATAGCCTGGCAGCATCGCCAGCATTGGTCGGGAGTATTAACGTTGAAACGCGTCGCAGTGTATCCCTGGATGCAGAACGGGATTGGTGAGTCGCAGGCATTTCTGCAGACTTCCTTGATGGCTGTTGCAGGAGCCGCGGTGTAAAGGGTGGCGATGAGACAGATAGCGATTGAAAAGAGTTTCGTGGTTGTGTTTTACTTGTTTAAGTCTGGCCATGAGTGGAGAATCAAAGGTGGGATGTCAAGGGACGTACTGAGGGATAGTATATGTTAGAGAAGAGTACCGTGGCAGAAGATTGAAGGGGGTTTTATACCGATCTTATCCGGGGCTGTCGGGCAATAAAAATCTGGGATCGATGTTTATCTTTCCAAAGAATGAACACATTACAGGAAAAATACTTACCTGCTCATTTTCGACAAGTGTACGTGGGAGCCACCAAGCAAACACCAAGTTGTTTATCATCAGTTTATGTTGGGCGGGCGGGCGCCCGCCGCCATGACGCAAGCGCCTTCTGGTTGTAAGCTTTATTGAGCGGAGAGGTGTACCCTCGCAAATCTTTACGAGGAAACTGATTTTCTCGGACACTGAGGTCGAATGCGATGAATGAGGAATCAATTCGTTCATGAGCAGAAGCATCGCGATGGCTAGTACTCTTGGTCACGCGTGCGGCGTGACAGCTCTTCTTCTCTTACCATCATCGTCTCCGCCAGCAATGACAGCGACGACGAACAATGTTGATGCGATACAGGAGGTAAGCGCCATCTCGCCCTGCTATGCGATCCCTCACCCCATCGTGCTGCAGGACCGTCTCGTCGAGCTGACGGAGATGGAGCGAAACAACTCAGAGACGACCAACGATTCGCCGTTTACCTCGGCTTTGACGACGCCTGTGGATCAAGATGTGCCCATCAATGTCTTTCAGGGGATACACGAGGCTCTTGCGAGAGATATGGACGGCTCAGCGGTAGACTCGTACTTTGATTCAAAGGCTGTAGGCAAAGGCGCGGATATCGCGCAGGTATCGCAGCAGTTAGAGGAAGGAAGGGTGGTTGAGGTTGAGGTTAGCTTTATGCTTCTTTCAACCGCGGAACCGTTTTACAGCCATCCATTAGATAGCCCCAGACGCAGCGTTGGAACTGGTGGCGACGTTGGTCCCGGAAGCGATTTTGGCCCCGTAGGCAACGTTAGCGCCAGAAACAACGTTATCCTCAGAGACGTCGTCGTCATTGGTGGTAGAAGACACGACAACCGACAGGCCTTCTCTTTCCCCGTTATACCAAGAACCGAGTCCTATGGTTGGGGATTTGAATGAGGTTCGGGTTATCAAAATTTGGAGGCAGCTTCTCTGACTTTGTCTCACAAGGAGGACCGCGTGGAACCCCCCGCATTACGTTTAGAAGGCAGCCCCACTGTCCCGCAGCCAAGCGATGTAAGTCGAGTTCCCAGTTCTCATTTTAGCGCTCACAGGTCGGTGTAGTCTGGTGATCTTTTACCCCGCGCCTTCTCTTCCGGATACATCAGCCAGGATGATACCAGTTCACCATACTTCTCTTCTCCCGACATCGATACCAAACCGGCGGTAATTTACGTCCTTTTTTCTCGAGTAATATTGACCAAAGCATCCTTCTAACTTCTAAGACCACCTATACGCTGCCGAATGGAGCCATTTTGGTGGAGAGCCTTTCCACCGACTCCCAGAATCAGGTTTGGTTTGAGTTTAGAGGATATATGTGGTTGGTGTGTGCATAGGAGGATAAAATACTCGATGCTGCGCTCGAATACTGAGGAGAGGACCCAGGATCTGTGAATAACGCAGGTAAGGATTGGCCTTTTGACGGGAAAAGGAGAGGGCGTACGTGGGACCAGTTAGACGATAAAGGGGAGATAAAAGGCAACGAGAGCCTGTAAAGGTGGAATCTCCAATTCAACTATCGATGCTGCTACCCTCAACCGTCGGACTTCCCCACCCTCCCACTAATGAAGTATACGAAGATGAAAATGCGGACTGGCGGTTTGTGTCGAATCACAGAAATCACATCCATCGGTGCGGGTGGGCGACAGCGCAAGCCTTGCTGGGTGCGGATTCTCGACGTCGCGCTTGAATATTGTCGAGAGCGCAGAAGATCTATACAACTCAGGGCAGTGACGCCATTGTCCAAGGACTCTGAATGAAAAGGCGCGACATAAACTGAAAAAGCGGAACAAAGACCTTTGGTCTTGACCGCAAGGCTGATGAAAGCATCTGCCATCTGGGAGAGTCGGTGGGCCAGCTGAACTTTTTCAATGCATGGGTACGTCATAATGTCACGGACATGCACAGCCATCAATCCATGATGTCACTTACGTGTTGTGCCCTAAGAAACTATCCTATTAAAGGCAATTAAAGGCGCCTCATTTTTGGAGACCGTTTCACATTTCCCCCACTTTCACGCCAGCGTTTCCGAACGATGCAACACGCCACCTGCACTAGGATTCGTATTAGGTCGCCCTCAGATGCTCGCGTCATTTTCCACGGTGTCGTTCTAGACATCTTGTAGACATCCTACCGATGGTGACCCGACGGTTGGACGCCGAGGAGAGGAGTCTGATTTTACCAGGCCATGTGTATGTTTGGGAGGAACGGGGACCACACGCTGAACTGACAGGAGTGAGTTTGCATGATGCAAGTATGAAACTCGATATTGACGAATGTTGTAACTTGTGTTCCAGGTTGGTATTGAGCGATGGACAGACGGTAGGTTGGGTTGCCTTTTCCGCGATGCAAAGTGATCACGACTCATAGGTATTCGATGGGGGCCGTCGAGAGTCCGAGAGGTAATCAAGCATCATCTTTAGCACCTGCGCCACTTCATGTTTGCTTTTATCCAGGGTTTCTTATTCTACCATGAGAAACAAGCATCGGGTCACTTCTATTCAGACAGCCTGTACGACCTCGGTACGACCTGCCACTCCGCGTGTTGTTGGCCCCCTTCTCACTCACCCCCCTTTTCTCCCTCAAGCGATTATTCTCGGACAATTCTAATAAAGCAAACATACACCGTGTTCGTGGACACACCAAGGGGACAACAGAAATGGCACCTCAGTGAGTAAAAATAGGCACAGGGATGTCCCTATTTGATACATTTAATTTCGTTCACAGTCGCCTATTTCGCTGAGGAATCCCTTGATAGACTGCGATCTATCGAAGACATTCCTGAGTTGGCGTCATTGCGCGTACCTCATGGGAAGTACAAAAGTGCAAGATCTGCCAAAGGCAGGCCTGATCATATCTTCAACCCCGAGAGTGAAAGCCGGGAATTCTCGCGATTGGAGTATGTCCCGTATGCGCCTAACCCCAGGAGCGCTTCTGACAATCCAGAGCCACCGGCGACTAACCGACCTTCAACATGGATTGATCTGCCAATGCGGGATCACAAGGGATCCACAAAGAGCGGCTCCGCAAGTTCTGCCTCAGATGACAATCCCAACAGCTTGGCGCCCCTAA